AATAGTGAGATGTAAATTCAGTTACTTTAGGGTTTTCAGTTATAAGTAAGTAGAGTAACCATACAAGTAATATAAAATCTATAATTGCTTATCAGGAAGATCTAATATACCCTCAATTGTCAAAACAGAAGGTCAGTGGAATAATACATTTGAAGAGTTTATTTTTAAAAAGTGTAATAGTATTTTTTCACAATACAGGAAGAAACAAAATATTGACTAAACCTTTCAAAAAGCAGTCAGAGATAAAACTAAAAAACAGTAAGAGAAAACTACAGCATGTAGTTGTCCATAAGAATTTATATTAGAATAAATATAATAGCTGAAAGTAAGAGTGTATCTATTGCTCAGTGGAATATTCATTTAAGTTGCAGACAATATTTGGTTTATATAAAATACACGAGCTTGTTGAAGGAATTTGTCTACAGACAATGAAAATTTAAAGTACTAAGATAAGGTGAATTATTTTACATGTGCATTAGTACTAGTGGTTATTCTTCTTCCTCTATAGTGATGATATGCAGTACAGAAAAAAATAGAGGTATTAAATTTTGCCAATGCTTTAAAACTTCCCTCATCCAAAGTTTTCTTTTTACAAGATTTTTATTTATTTATTTATTTATTTGTTAGATCCATACTTTTAGTCAAAGCAAAATTACAGAGTGGAAGTGGGGTTTGGAGATGTATGAGCAGATAGAGACTACATTTTGAATAAACTCAAAGTTCAAATAGCTCCCTAAATTCATACTTTCTGGGGAAAAGAAAGTACCATGTATCATGCTTCAGAATAATACTCCTAGTTTTAGTAACAACCAATGTTGAGGTGTTCTCAAAAAAAAAAAAAAACGAGGTGGGGGGGAAATTATCAGAGCAGTATGGTGTACAGATACATTGCAGACAGATAGGAAATTTGTTCAGGGAGAAGAAGATTAAGTCGAGTTATCAAACATACATTGGCAAGAGCTGTGGGCCGGTGATGTGTCATTGTTCACAGTTGCTTTAACTGGGCACAACACAGCGTTGCCCTGCAAAGAAACTGCTCCCCCCAACTCCCACCTTGGCAGCTTATTCTCTCCTTTGCCAGCACAAGTGTGCCTGTCTTTTCTTAAATGTTATTTTGTTCTATTTTTTTTGACCACAGATATTTTTATTAATATTTATGTCTTGAAAGTGTCATTATTTTGTGCATTTCATAGTGCAGGCAAAACATGGGATGAGATGGGTGCTACTTTCCCAGCTTCAGGTCTGTGCAAATTTGGGCTGGGTGCTGAGGTCCTTTGAGCTGCAGCAGGAACCTCAATTTTACAGGGCCTGACTGTGTAATGAGCAGGCAGAGGCAGATCATATCAGGAATTTAAACAGGAGGAAGAACAGCGGGAATGGAGGCCTAAAAAGTTAAAAACACAGACTTGATGAGTGAGATAGAAACCATCAGCTATTTCAGGCATCTCGTACCAGACAGAAGAATGAATGCTGTGTAATTCTGATACTGACAAGCCAATAAAAACAGACTGATTTGGTGGATGCTGCTTGTACAAGACCTCACCTGTACTGGTTTGCAGAACACAGTATGTGCATAGGTACATATATACGTAGACATATATATGTATACATACACACAAACATATCTAAAATACCTTGTTCAAATGACCATGTGCAAGCCAGGATAGCTTACAGATAATACGGATGTGCATGCCAAAGGCATCATTCAGTATATTGTTTGCTATGGGTATGCGTTGTTCATATATAAATTTCCTTTTTTAAACAGAAAGTGTTGATTGTAGATGCTAGAAAAGATCCTACACATAAAGGAAGTCTTGGCTTGTAAGCTTGAGTATCAAAAACTACTGGAACAAAACTGCAGTTCTGCGCACAGAATATGGTATGACAGGACATGCTATCGAAGGGACTGTTTGAGGTCTTTTGCATTTGAATTTTTCTTTGAAATTTGTATGAGTGGATTTTTCATAAATTCTTGTGGGGCACAGTAAATTGAAAAACTGGATTCCAAACAATTGTTGAAAGTTTGATGAAAAATGTGGCATATTCAGAAACGTGTAAGTGAAGTAATTACAAAGTTACAGCAGCTGGTTATAGAAGACAAAGTGGAGACCTGTTATATATATGCCATGATTAAAATTCTGATCCAAGGACTCAAGGAGAAACTGAGTGGTGGAATTAGCCGTAGTCATCCCATACTGTACCATCCATCCCACACCCTTTTTTTTAGTCATTTTTTCAAGGTTGTTTCTGCTTCTGTGTCTGAAAGGACCAAAGTTAACGTATATGAGTCTCATGATACTGGAGAAGTATCTTCTTTTCTCTGATGACATTTCTAATATAGGTCAACCTTTTTTAGTAAGAGATGAGTATCTTCACACCAGACAGATGCTAAAACTTTCAGTTTTCTTTTTCTCAGAAGTATGAATTTCTTGTGATTCACATCAGTAAGATCTTTCAGAAGAAAATAAGCCTTTTATTCCTTGAATTGCCATAAAAATAAAGCCATCATATTTGGGGATTTGAGGTGCCATCATCCCCAGACTCATAATGAAGATTATGACTGAGTCAGCTATCTGCAGTATCTGGATTTTTTTTTTTTTTTTGAACAGATTTATTGACTATTTGCATTTGTCCTTTCTGAGATATTTTTTATGATGCAGTCTTTTTTAATTTTTTAATTCTGCAGTCTTCCATATTGCGTGACTCTGAATGTTACATGAGGTAGAAATTTGCTCAGGTATCGTGGTGTGAGGACATGCCCATTTGTATTATACGCTAGTACTACTGTAAAAGCAACCACATTTTCTGTCATGTTATCTGGGCAATTTGTAGTTCTACATCACTGCACGCTTGCCATATTATAGTTATTTTACTAGCTCCACTGGTGCATTACATGCCCTAATGGCTTCCTGGGTTTTGTTTTGCAAATGAGGAGCTCCATCTCTTGCAGAACAATGGCTCTAAGTTTATTTCCTTTATGTTAGATTGTATTTTAAGTAGCTTTAATAAAGCTTATATTGGCTCATTTATCTCCCTGCTGGTGTTTAGATATCACTCACAATGGGGACTTCTGTTGGAAAAGGTTCACAAGTGTTGGCCTCACATGCCTGTTCTTGACTCATCTGTTCTGCTTCCTTGGTGTGCCTGCTCTTTTCCTTGCACTTTTCTCATCTTTTTGTCCTCATTGCAATCCAACACCCACTTATCCAAATGAGCACATTGGTGGCATGAAGGAATTCCATGTGAAAAGCAATGTGTTTTTCAGTGACTGGACAAACCAGACGCAGATGCCTTCCAAACCACCAATGCACAATGTGTACTTGAGAGCCTTGGTTTTGTTTTCTCCAATATTCTCTTCTATCCTAAGCCTTCTCCATTCTCCTACTCCAATGACCAGCTCAAAAGATTTAGGCCGTTCTTTCATTGCTGAAGAAACTAAATTGTGCGTTTCCCAGAGCACTTGGTAATGCATCACCGTAAGAATATTTGATAGCACTTTATTCATTTCAGAAGAGATCTGATTATTACCTGATTCCTATCAGCGACAGAAATCACTGTGTGATCACACCTCTATAAATGCCTAGAAGAAATGACTGAAGATAGCAATGATCATCAGATAACAACAGCAGAATTTAGCATAAAGAATTTCCTCTTTCATTTTGTAAACCCCAACAAACATCTCCTGTTGCTTATGAGTTTCTTCAAAGAAGAGGTGCATCTTTTGCTGCTAGGTTTCTAATTATATTTGTGATATGTTTGTCTGGAGTTTCAAACCATTAGTAGAATTTGATAGCCTGATCATCAGCTACATAACATAAACTTGTATGATCAACACATTCAGCAGCTTATCTCAAAAAGTAAACTGGAGAGATCCTGTCACTAATTTGACTGTATCCAAGCACGCACTTTGATATGGTAAGTATGACCCAGTTTTCTTGAATCCTGAATAATGTATTGCATTAATCACTCTTGTCATTCCATTCTTCCAAGCTCTGAAATCTTGCATGAAATTAATTACACCATCCAGTTTTATTTGTCACGGTGAGTTCCTCACACTTCTGAGTGTTGGAGTGGTTTTATTGGCTAGACCAGCAGTTTGCCTAGCCACGTATCTTGCTTCTGCTGAGGGGCAGCATAAACATCTTTGTGTTTATGGGTTTGTTTTTAACAAAAATACCCATGTTAAATGTTTACATGCTTTACAGTATTTAATGTGTGATATCTATAATGGAGAAAGCATCACTATTTACCCTGTCTAGGAATTTGTCCTATTGTTTATGTGAGGATAAATTTGCAAAGGTGTAAGTCATTTTTTCCCTGCTGTGAGCGGTACTCTCTCAGAGGATGGGTTTAAGTGGCCTTACACAGTCAGTACTTTTTTTGCTGGAGTCTTTCTTGAAGTACAGCTTGTTAGGCCCTTTGCTGTGATGGTCCTGTGATCTGGATTTACCAGTGGATCAGAGGACGAAATCCATGTAACATGGAAAGTATGGGTCCCTCTGACTAAAACCAGTGGATGGCTTCATTTTAGTGACACCTGGCCCCGTAGCGTCTCCTAATTCACTCTTCCCCAAACCTCCACCATTATAACAAGTGCTGTGTTCTGCCCTTGAAGTGATGAGTTTTAATAGAGACCAACCTGGTGGAAGCTATAGAAGTTATAGGGGGGCGATACCATACTCTTAAGTTAACCGGTTAAGTGTGGTTCGGGAGTTGTTTCACCAGAGCTTCATTTTTTTTCTCAGTTTAGCTGTTGTAAATCAATGTAAGCTGGAAAGGGTGCCAGGCTACCTAGGAGGCTGAAGGTATAGAGGGGAGACTTAGAAACAAAAATCGTAGTTTTATGCTCAAAGACCAGCTGCTGGGCACTACTGGGGTGCAAAGAGAGATTTGTCGGGCAACGACTGGGCTCTGTATCGCACAACTGTATCGAAGCAGCCTGTGAGGGAGGAGGAGAGAGGGCAGGAAAGCGCCGCTGCCATCCCCAGCGCCCTGCGGGCAGCCGCGATGGCCGGGGCCGCCTCTTTGTGTGGCAGCAGCGCGAAGATGGCGCGGGGGCCGGCGGCAGCGCCGCCGCCGTGAGGGGCCGGCGCAGGCCCTCCTCCCGCCGGCCTCCTCCCCTCCTCCCCGCCGCCTTCACAACGGCCGCCGAGGGCCGGGGGCGGCCGGGCCGGCCGGGGCTCGGTACCGTCGCCTCCGCTGCCACCGCCGATGGGGGAGTGCGGGGTGCCCCCCCAGGTGCAGCTCTTCCTCCGTGCCTGCGAGCAGGGCGACTGCGAGACCGCCCGGCGCCTGCTGGGGCTGCCCGGCGGCAGCGCCGAGCCGGCGGCCGCCTCCGCCTGCGGCAGCGAGGAGCCGGCGGAGCCCCGCGGGGAGGCGGCAGCGGCTGCAGGGGTCGTCGCCACCCCGGTGCCGGTCGCGGTCGCGGTCCCGGCAGCAGCCGCCGCCGTCCCCGTCCCCGTGGATTGCACCGACGAGGCCGGCAACACCGGGCTGCAGTTCGCCGCGGCGGGCGGCCACGAGCAGCTGGTGCGGTTCCTGCTGCGGAAGGGGGCCTCGGTGCAGAGCAGGAACCACTACGGCTGGAGCCCGCTGATGCAGGCGGCCAGGTAGGGGCGCACGCTTCACCCCCACCCGGGGGGCTCCGCCTGCAGCCGCCGGTCCCTGCTCGGGAGAGCGCCCCGAGGGGCCGGGCACCCACCTGCTGCCCACCCCGGGGGGCAGGAGGGGCTGTCGGGGGCTGGTGTGCACAGGCATCCACCCCAGGCATCCAGGTATTGGAGCTGGGCACCCCTTGGTACTGCCAGGGGTGCCCCAAAGCGCCGAGGGCTCACCCGAACCCCAAAACGCTGCATGCACATCCTCCCTTCTGCATGGGAAGATCTGTGCAAAACCCCTGCCTGGTTTCTGTCCTTCTTCTCTTAGCCCGACCTATTGGAAAATCACCTCCGGTTTAAAACGGATTGAACGAAGTATCAACAATTCGTTTTGCTCGCCTCTTCCTTGTTTTCCCAAAGGGCTCGCTGGAGGATGTGCAGAGTCATTATTTTGGGTATTAGTGGCAGAGCTGGGTTGTTTTCAGTATCGTGCCACTCTCGTGTCACTCACCGCAGAGCTGCGGATGGTTCCAGTATTGCTAACGCTGGGGTTTGTGCTTATCTCGATGTATACAAATACCCGCTGGGTTTACACGCTTTGCAAGGTTGGGGGGCAGTGCTCTACTTTGATTAAATCAGTGCTTAATTGAGAGGAGATTTTTTCTTTTTCTTTCATAACACATTAAAATACTTGGAAGAAAAAAAAGTCTGTTTGAAAGTCAACATTCTCTTTTCAATTAAAGCCCACAGAAAGTTCCCAAAGAATGAGTCACACAGCTGGTTTTCCAGTAAGAACAAGGAAGACAAGGTTCAGCAGTTCTGTTATTTTACAAAGGTTAAAAAAAAAAAAGCCCCAAAAACATTCTTAGATTTTTTTTTCCTTAATGAAAACCTTACCCTCATTCTCTAATAATAATAAACTAAATCACCATAGTCTTCTAATTGTTTTAAAGAAATGACTTGCTACTATTTGAAATGTATGATAAATATTGAAGCCTGGAGAGAAAGCTTAAAGTGGGAGAACTTTTTTTATTTTTTTAATGGATAGCTGAAAAGAAAGTATGACTGTGCAAGCATAGGTTTCAAACTACGTACGTGTTGAATTTTCTGGCTGTGTTTAGTCCTGTTGAAATTGGTGAGATAGCGTATATGTATAAGAGTAATCACATCTGCAGAGATTGCAGGATCTACTGAAGTGACACAGTGAAGGCTATGAGGGCAGACTCATTGCAACTTGACAGTCCCTGGAAACTTTCTTCTGCAACTTTATGTTTGCTGGAAAGAAGCTAGGGAGTTTGTGTCTCGTGTCTCTGTTAGTGGTTAGTAGTGTTCTTGGGGATTTCCTCAAGTACCGTTTGTTCTGTTTCAGAGTGCAAAAGCAGCTTTCAGGAGCAAAGCTTGGTTGTGTTAAATACTGCACAAGCATATAGTAACTTATGACAGCTACAACAAGCAGTGCAAAAGTACACATCTTGTAAATGTAGTGTTTATTGAAGTGTGGGATTGCTCCTCAACTGAGGAGGGGTAAAGGGTTTCTGTTTTCTCACTGTGAGCAAGCTGGTTGGAGGTATGGTGTAGGTATGAGGTATGGTAGCGGGGGGCTGCAGTGGTGGCCTCTGTGAGCAGAGCCCAGCAGCTGCCCCATGTCAGATCAGAGCCAGCTCCAAAAGGGACCTGTTGCTGACCAGAGCCAAGACAGTGAGAAACACTGGTTGGGCCTCTGGGAAAGCAGATTTAAGAAAGGGGGAAAAACTGCTGTGCAACAGCAGCTGGGGGAGAGGAGTGAGCACCAGCCCTGCAGCCAGGTGAGTGCAGCAGGAGGGCAGGAGGTGCAGCAAGCAGGCAGCAGCAGTTCCCCTGCGGGCTGTGCAGGGAGAGGCCCCCGGTGGAGCAGGCTGTCCCCCTGCAGCCCATGGGTCCCCCATGGAGCAGATCTCCACGCTGCAGCCCCCCCGTGGGTGGAGGAGCCCCCGGTGGAGCAGGTGGATGTGGCCTGGAGGAGGCTGCGGCCCATGGAGAGCCCCCGCAGGAGCAGGCCCCGGGCCGCAGCTGCAGCCCGTGGAGAGGAGCCCCCGCAGGAGCAGGGGGTCTGGGGGGAGCTGCCGCCCAGCCGTGGGGGACCCGTGCTGGAGCAGTTTGCTCCTGGGGGATGGATGGATGGAGCCCGTGGGACGGAGCCGTGTGGGAGCAGTGCTTGAGGAGCTGCTGCCTGTGGGAAGCCCACACAAGATCAGTTTGGGAGGGATAGCATCCTGTGGGAGGGACCCCAGGTGGAGCAGGGGCAGGGAGTGACCGCGAAGAAGCAGCTTTAAAGACAAAGCTTTAGGGACTGACTGCAGACCCCATTCCCTGTTCCCCTGTTTCACTTTTGGGGAGGACGTAGAAAAATGTGAAGGGTCAGGGGAAGGTGTTCTTAGTTTCTCAAATATATAGTAACATTTATTACCAATATAAATATATACCTAATTTCCCTATGCTGAGTCTATGATCATCATTTTGCCTGTGATGATAATTGAGTGATCTCCCTGTCCTTATCTCAACCTTTGATCTCTTTGCATCATATTTTCTCCCCCTTTCCCTTTGAGGAGGGGGAGTGAGAGAGCTGTTGTGGTAGCGCCCAGCTGAGTAAAACCACTACACATGGCTTGCATGATTGTCTTTTGCTTACTGACAAATTACCAGAGCCTCTTAGTCAACTTGTGTCAGAGCAGTGCTGCTGGTGAAACCAGTGTCAGAGTCCAGGTTCCCTGAGGCATTCTGCATGTGGAGAGCTCATCTGGTACCCTTGGTGTTGAGATAAGTTCAGCTTCCTTTATGACAGCAGTGGCCAATCACTATATTTTTTGAGCTTCTTGAGCACATCACAGTTGCCTGTCTTCATTAAGCCAGCTTCTGTTCTGGAAGTTGATTTTTTTTTTCCCAACTGCAAAGCAAGAGGTGGTGCAAATGCCTTTTTTATGGGTATGGTCACTGGTGCATGTGAAACAATTTAGGAAGGTACAGTCCTTCAGTAAGGTGACCATGGTCACGTTCAGTGATGTGGGCATCATCTCATGTAGTAAGTATCTCAGTCTTTTCTATTAGTCAATAACACTGAACTGGTAACAAATTTTTCTGTGTTTGGAGTATGACTGTTTTCAGAGTGTCAGAAGCCTCTGCCATCCAAGGTGTTAATTCTTTTTTTTCCCTTTCTTCTTTCTTCCTGTCAAGGTTTGGGCATCTAAGCGTGGCTCACATCTTGCTGGAAAATGGTGCCGATCTCAACGCACAGAATAAGTTGGGAGCCAACGTCCTCACAATGGCCTCCAGAGGCGGCCATGTCAGCATGGTGAAATTGTTGCTGGAATCTGGAGCTTTTGTAGACAATTACGACCATTTTAGCACAAATGTGCTTAACAACAGCAGAGACGACCTCCCTGATATCACTCCACTGATGGCGGCCGCTCAGCATGGACACGAGGCAGTGGTACATCTGTTACTAGACTGGGGAGCCGATTGCAATTACACTGTGAAGACTATGGGCTGGAGTCCTTTAATGCTGGCAGCTGTTAGTGGAAAGGTGAGCTTGGCACAGCAGCTCATGGAGAAGGGTGCCAATCCCGATCACCTGAATGTACTACATAAAACACCTTTTGAAATCTCTGTTGGCTGCAAACATAAAGACATGAAGGACTACCTGGAATCTCTCACAACGATTAGACCCCAGGCAGGTATGGAGCATTAGTTTTTTGTGTTGACTTCTTGGAGTTTTGATTGTGTATTTGGAAATGGAAGGTGTTACATTGTATGTACACCAGGTTCTTTAAGATTTGTAACTAGGCTGAAAATGTTGTAGCAGGTATACCTATCTTGGTTGTGAGGCAGGAATGCTCAGCTTCAGTAGGTGTCCTCCAGGTTAGCACATCAGAATTCCCATTCTGCATTAAAAAATTAAATTTTTTTTAAAATTAATTTTAATTTAATTTTAAAAATTAAAACATTTTAAAATGTTTTAATGTTTTCAATGTGTTGTTTTTTTTTAACCTTTAAAACATGTGAGATAGGCACTCATTTAGGAAGAAAATTAAAAAAGGCCTACTTGGTAGGGGCCTGAAGAAGAGACATTAGAGAAGAGAATAGGATATCAAAGAAAGGATATCACAAACTTGGAGAAAACTTTTAAAAGAGAAAATCTTGAAAACCTGCCTTGTAGTGAGAGACTAAAAATGTTCCATCTGCCTAGTTTCATGAGGTGGTTAAGAGAAGTGATTAATGAAGCTTCCACATTAAGGACAGGGTGTCCAGTACTTGAGGGTCTTTTTGTACAGCAGCCAAAGAAAAAAACTGCAAGTTCAAAGTCGGAAGAATTTGAATGGGAAATAAGACAGCATGCGTTGCAGTGAAGTTTAGACCTGGAATGACTTAGAAGAGGTGTAGAAACCCTGACACTTGCAATCAAGGTTGAATGATTTTCTAAAACTTATTATCAGATTGTCTTTGCTATGTGTCATGTACAATGTCTGTGATATGCAGAAAAACAGATTAGGTTAATCTGGTGGTTTCTTCTGGCCTTAAGCTCTCAGAGGGTGTGAAACCTTCTCAGAGCCCTTTGATAGTAGACTGTGTAGTATAAGAAAATGAAGTATTAATGTGGATGAATAATAAGTTATCATGTGCTCTACTTTTCTGATCCTTGAAGGAGAGGGGAATACTTAATTTCAGAACTTCATAAAATTTATAAGCAGCCTTTTCCACTCAAGCATCGATGTGCATGTTCACATATGCACAAGCGTGCACACTCACTATGCTAATTTACATACAAAATTAGATCAGAAGTACACCATTTTGATGCAAATCTCAAGTAAAATGAATTTCAGAAATGCTGCTTATATGGTGGTTTTAATTCTGCACTGTTATGCATGCATTATGTGCATTGAATGAGATAAGGGAAGAGATAAACAGTCTATGACTGTGCAGTTAATGAATGTGTGGTCATGTAGCTTTAGCCAGGAGAGTTTAAGGATGTAAGAAATCCAGATCTTTGTAGAGATATAGTACCTTGTGCTGATGATCCAAAGGTTTCGGAAGATGGGAGTGAACTTTGACTACAATTTTATCAAGCCTCAAACAATATGTCCAGTGCCACATAATTAACCAGAAGGACAGAGTAGTGTGTTGTGTGTTGTTACTAGTTATTTTCTTTTTGAATTACAAAGAAAATTTGTATTCCATTGACAGCTTTCTATATGCACGCTTGTAGGATTTTCATTTTTATTGAAGATAAAGGTTAAAGCCTATCTGTTGTCACCTGTTCATTTCAAATACTAATGATTTTTTTTTTAATTGTACTTATTGTTATATCTCTCTAATTTCTTTCCAAATTAACTTAGCTTTTCTTGCTGTCAGGTTCTATAGAATAATGTTATGATTGGCTTATGCTAGTTTTGTTGTGGTTTTGCTTCCTTTTTCTTCTCCAGAAATGTGTTTCTTTACTACAGAAATGTATTAAATCTGTTCATGAACTCAGGCAGTTTGGTCTGGACATTGTGTTGGACATCTGAACATCAGGAAGTCATTTCAGAGACAGAGGCCTTATTCTGTATGTGGCTGAGTGGGGACTCTTCGAGGTTTTTGTGCTTCATGATGCAGACTGATGCTGGGTGAGATTTAACTAGAGGCTTTGGAAAAGCAGTGAGGCAGGCATCTGGTTTTCCAGCTCAAGAGTTTTCACTATGAACTGTAAGGGTAGGACTGGCCCTAAAACGAAGCTTTCCCAGGTGCTACCACCCATTCAGCCATGGTGGCAAAAAGCCTGCAGGGTATGTTAGTCCACTCTAAGCTCTCTGCCACGTTGATACCCAAAGAGGCTTATGCAAATCATAGCTAATTACTTTTCTGTTACACTGTAGCATAGCCATACCCACAATCCCAGTCTCCTACTTAAAGCTTGTTAATTTTTATTTAAATTGGGTGTTATTCCTGCAGGTCAAGCTTTCCTTGTACTTTAAGACTCAGAACAGAAATCTGACATTTCCTTCTGCCCTAGAGAAAGTTTGAACTCACCCAAATATTGACTCATAGGTTAAGTTGGAGCAAAGGCTTTCATGCAGCCAAGCTACCAGGCAGAACTGTCTGACTGAAGACATTCGCTCATGATCAGCCTCTAACAGAAACCTCAGTTGCTTACAGTAGGCAGAATCAGACATCAGGGGGATTTGCTAGTGCAGTGCTTTATATCTTGCCTGTGCATTTGCATGTAAGTTCTGCGCATGCAGAGTTGGCCTGATGCTGATTGAAAGTCTTCTATGATCATCCAACTTAAAGTATTGAAGAAGTCTGTTTAAACTAGAGGAGCTGACCTGCATTAAAGCAGGTGAGTGTTCCTGCCACCTCTGCTGAGGGCGAGTTTCCATCAGCAGTAAGGGAGTAACTAACTGGGATGGAGAGGAGGTTAAAAATGTTGAGATTCCACATAAATTTCTGCATCACTATTTAGCCATGGCTTTAGCCTCCTCTAGCACTGGAATCAGTATATCCTGGGGAAAACAAACAAACAAAACCAGATCCTTTCTCTCCTGTGGAAGGCAGCAGAAAAGGAAATTGTCTTCTGAACCATTAACCATGACCCTATATAGATAAGGTGAGTCGCATTCTAAATGAAAGCATCTCTCTCCTATGGGCTGTTTTCAGGAACAAAATCAGAACTGCCCCTGACAGCCTGGGTGTTGCCTGTGTGTTCTGGCACCTCCTCGTGGTCTCCTGCTCCCTGAGGCAGCATCTCTTCCAGGCTTTGCACTTTGCCAAGTGTAGAGTCCTGTCCTTTCTTCAATTAGTCTTTTGAGATCTGTTTTCCAACAGTGAGTTCATACATAGTTCCTTCTATAAGAGCAGTTTCTTAATTAGGAGAAAACATAGGACCCACAGCTCTAGTTCCTAGTCTTAAAATAAGAGTCTTTCATGTTTTGGGGGGCTTTTCAGCAACTGTTTTTTGTTCAGCATTTCTAAATGACTTTCTTTGAAGTCAAGCCATGAACATGAACCTTTTCTGTTTTACCAAAAAATGACAGAATCAGACCCATGAGACCTCTCAATGTCACTTGTTTTCCTACAAATCTGCTTGCCCCATTGGCTCTGTAGTGGCAGTAACGCTTTGGAAGACAGAGGAGGATATGTTTTTCTGGCTTGAGTGGAAGGTGCAAAATATGTCACTATTTTTTCCTCATTGTACATATTGCCAACCGTTTCAAAGCACTGGGAAGGCACGTAGAATGAAAGATCCTTCACTCAAAGTCTTACAGTTGTAATAATTACAGTTCTTTTTAAGATGATGACCATCTGGGAGCTGGAGGATCTCTATTAATGTACAAAAAAACCTGTGTCTTTGAATCATCACTATTATTTTTGTGACCTTCAAAAATTAGCTTGTCAGTATTCTAGAGGAAGTAAAAAGGGAGCATCTTACAAAACTCCTTTTGAATCCCTTTCCCAAATAGTCCTGTGTTATTTGAGTGCTTGCTGTTGTACAGAGAATTACACCAGACCACAGAACTGTGCTGTGGTTCTTTCATTGATATTTAAGTCTTCCAGGCAGGAAACAGACGTTTCCAAATAAAATTTCCTGATACAGAATGGAAGTTGAAAGGCAGAGGCAGTACTGGTATGTTACAGTGTGTAGTCTTACCTCTGCACAGAGAGCCATACAGGTGAGTCGTTGTTCCCAAAGGGAATAAACATCTGTGCTGTCTTCGTTCTTAATAAATGCCTGTGCAAGCATCTTTTATAGTATATTTATGTATATATTTTTCTATATATTGTATATTTTTCTATAAAATTTTACTAGATTTTTTTTTTGCCTTTTAAATAACTCTTAACAGAAATATTTATGTTTTTCAGATACAGAAAAGAGGCAACCTGACATCTTCCATGCTTTGAAACTGGGTAAGTACTGACAGGATTTTTCCATCATGTCTGGTTCTTGCAACTACAGAGTATGCTTGTTTGCTAACATGGGAAACTGAGTTGTGTTCTGTTTTAACATGCAACTACTTTTTTCTTTCTTTTTCATTTTAAAGATACATTTATTTCTGTATTTATTTTTTTTTACATTCCGATATGGGAAAGTCTTTATGAGCTCCTTGTCGTGCCCTCCATGCCACAATGGTGTGGTTTAGTAGTTTCCAAGACCATGCTACCTTTAACATGATTTTTTTTTCCTTCCTGGTAGTCTTGAAGTATAAAAATAAAACTGGCAAAAATACACTGGTCTCTACTCTGTATGAACATTTTCATTGCTGTTTAAAGTTGCTTCAGGAAAAGGACAATTATCTCAAATCCTGCACGTTCTTTCATGAGTAGGAGCGACTTTTCAAGAGCACACAATTGATAAATCTGTTTTGTGGCCAGTGCCATCCTGTTGATGTAAATTTGATCCAAGCAGTGACGGGTTGCACTCCTGCTGAATGGCTAACTGTTTTCTGGTTACCTATTTTCCTGGATCTTCTAGCATAGGAAAAGGTGCTGAAATTATGGGTTTGGCCTGAGTATTGCCATCTGATGGCATTGGCTTAGGAAACAAGACTATTCGCTTTCTGCTGAGGTTGCTGATAATGTCAGAGATCAGAAACTCTACCCCGTTGGCGATCTCTTTGACAGCTTAGAGAGGTTCAGTCTTTGAACTTCATCTGATTCCTGCTTTCATAGTTGGTGTTTTGCCATGTAAGTATATATGTATGATAGCACCTGTAGCTCACCATCAGCGGTCCTAGCTACATGGACAGAAAAAAAAAAAAAAGAAAACAGTCAAAGCAAAGGACTTGATGGATTTATTTAATATCATTTCAAATAAGGAAAGAAGTCATTCTCATGTGAGGTTAAATCTTACATCCTATGAACTCGTGAGAGGTGTCCCATGAGACCTATGAGAGTCTCATAAGGGTCTTTCCCCAGTCAGCCTTCCCTTACTTGGGGCCAAGACATCCCAGGCAGCGAGGAGCTGCTGGTAATACAGCCTTGTGGCTGTAGTAATACTGTGCTGTGTAACAAAGCTGTGCTGTCTGTGTCTCTGGCAAATAAAACCTGATCCATAGAAAGCTGGCTGTACCCCTCTGGACTGTGATGTGTGTGTGTAGAATAAGTGAACTTCAGGGTTGAGCACAACTACCTCTCATTCTACCTTTTTTGTCCATGTACCTGCTCCTACCTGTAACGTAATCATGAATGCTCTGATGAGATTTATCTTCTTGCTTTCAGTGGGGAGCTGCAACCTGAAGGAGAACTCTGAGTTAGTACCCTTTTGATGGATTTTTGTGTCTTTTTTTATTTGTACGTGGATGATTTTGTGAAGGAAAATGCCACTGTTTCTCAACATCTGTCCAAATGGATTTCAGCAACACACCTTTAAATCAACAGTTATCTTCTAAGTTTTATTCTTACTGCGTTCGTTCCTATTGAAAATTCAGAGTTGTATTTTCATATGGTCAAGCCTGGCCCTAGCATCAAGATCTAATCCAGGGTTTGGTACTGCAGTTAAACAGTTGCTTTTTAACTAAGCATTGTAAGTCACCATCTCAGAAACTTTATGGCTTTTGGGGCTAACAGAACTGGAAATAGGCAGACATAATTGTGAGGAAGAAAGAGATGATAGGTAGCAGTAGTGGGAGTTCAGCCATACATGTCAATTCTTCACATGTAAGCTGACAAAACTTATTCTGGAAAGCCTCATGTCAGCTACGTTTTAGAAAGTTCAGCCGTCCTTCTCATACCTGCGTGACTTTTAGTTTGAGATTTAAAAACATGAAATCTGGGTAGGAAGGGGTCAGATGAATATTGGTCAGTGTGCTGCTTTTGTTTTTTTTTCTAGAATACATGGCTGTGGATGGCAGCATTGTTTAAGAAGACTTTGCTAGGTTAAGAAGTGTCCAGGACAGAGTTCAAAGTCAATTCTGGAGTCTCTGTATGTTCCAGGGTTTCTGTTTAACACAGTTTGTGATGCAGTTCTGTGTTTAAAAAGCCACTTGGTGTCTTTTACTAAATTGGGACATGGAAAATGAGGTCTGTGCTTTTCTTTCCCCTTCCAAGAAATTAGATGATGAGTGGGGGTGGATGCTAGTTTCAGTGCATTTATTCAAGTGCCTGCAGTGTTTATCTGGAATTCTGTCTTTCCAAGGAAAACGCTGACACCAGTGAGTGGGTTGAAGGTAGTCCATGCCATAAAGCAGTTTACAATTTGAAGTTTTATTATTATTATTATTTATTTTTATTTTTAAGCATGAGAATTTTTGCATTTGCACGGCAGTTGACAGTCTGCTTCTTTTTGCCGCTGTTCCTGCAGTGGTACATACTCATCGTTTTTCCTTCTTCCGTGCTTTTGTCTGCCATATGACATCAAAAAAGTAAGGGAGCTGGGCAAATTTAAGCCCTCTGCTTAGGATTACCCTGATGGACCTTGACTACCTCAAGACTTTTTTAAAAAGTGCTTGTTCCTACCTTTAGTAAGATTTAGGAAAAGAAAAAAGAAACGCAACCTAGCTAAAATGTGTTTGGTGGCATATTTTGCACTGCTTTTTTGTAGTCTAGACAAGAACTCGGTGACTGCCAGCCTCTTTCATCTGGAAACTTGAACGTTAGGTTTACTTTTTAAAAAAGATGACAGGAATGATGCCTTACTCTTGAGGAAGGAGTAGGGAAGTTTTGCATTGGAAATTAAATATCAGAAGTAGAATTTAAAAAACAAAACAAAACAACAACAACAACGAAAAACATTCTGAATATAAGAAGTTTGAACACCGGTATAGACTAATTCCCTGGGAGGCTGTGGAATTGTATCAGTCGTGGTTTTCAGAAACAGCGAACAACCTTTGTAGGAGGAGTTACGGGTCGATATAACCTAGGGCGTTGTTCTACCTTCTTGGGGCAAGAATGACCTCTGTCACCTTCAGAGTGCCTTTGTGCCCACCTTCCTTGGTTCTAGAATTGTGACTTTTCTGTGATTTCTGTCCAAGAAAATGCAATAGGGATCTTAGTCCTGCTGAACTGACAAAGCAGTCATCTCAGCGGTGTCCCAGCTGAGCGGTGTTGCTTTTCCTTGTACCTCATCTTCAGACAATTTTATGGAAAAGTTCCCTGCCCATGTCTTCCCATGAGATACACTGCAGTTTATACAGCCTTTATGGCTTAGTAGTTATTTGAGAAAAGTATTCTCGTAATAGAATTGTGCTATAAGTGTGCAGGTATGTAAAACTATGAGGGAAAACAGTGCCTCCAGCTTATATCACAGCTTCCTGTAGCCAGTGAAAATCTGTTGACGAAATGAAGAAACAGAGATCGGTACAAATGCTTATCTTTAATGATTGAAGCTGTAGAATTGCAGTTCTGTAGTACTGACAGACCTATAAGTCTGTCGTTATTGACACTGCTTTATTGTCTAATATGCAAAATGTTTTAAGGAACTATATACATTGAAATGGTACATACCTTATTTCTTCTGTTTTAATTCCACTAAACGTAGACCACTGTCAGCAAATCAAAGTACATATTAATTCAGTGGCTAAGCAGTTCTGTGTTCCTGATGTAGATTTTTTTTATATCCCTGTTTTGCAGGCAACTTTCAGCTGGTTAAAGAAATAGTTGATGAAGACTCAAGCCAGGTCAATATTACCACTGTTGATGGTGCATCTCCGTTAATGATTGCATCTGTGACTGGGCAGCTGCCCCTTGTCCAGCTCCTTGTTGAGAAAAATGCTGAGATTGACAAACAGGATAATGTTCATGGCTGGACAGCACTAATGCAGGCCACATACCATGGGTAAGTTGTATGCTCATTGAGTCTCACAGAAAAGAGGTTTCATTCTTCTTACATCCAGATAGAAAAGATCTTTCTGGTATTGACTCTGGAAACAGCTCTTAAAAGAATTGTAGAGGCTTTTGGCCTTAATCTTCTAAAACACGTAGTATGCCCTCAGCTTTTCAGAACAGACCCAAACATGTTTGGATTTTAAAAATGAGTGGCATATATGGAAACACGAGTCTTGTTCTGTAAGCGCTGGAATCTTCATGCTCCAGGCAGGCACTAGGAGCTTTGGTGCAGATTTCGACTTCCAGTCTTTGATGGCTTTTAGACCTTTTGTAAGATAGCATCACCCCAGATCAGGGCTGTAAGCCTACGCAGAGTTATGAAATTCAGTGTAATCACCTTTCTGTGTGCCATGTTTGCCAGTCTTAAAACCATTCTTACAATTCCTCTCTTCAGAAGTTTTCATTTAACTTTTCCGGAGTGTGTCCACTGAGAAATGATTTTTTTTTTGTAGTCAAAAGCTATTTTATAAATTGAATTTCACATGTAATCTCTGTCATAAAGTTAGCAATATCAAAATACATGACACTCCTGTCTGCATTCAGACGCTGCTCTTGTCTGTGATAACAAGGACTGGAAATCCTTATACTCAGAAGAATCTCAGCTTACCCCTTCTTAGGAGCAGTCTCTAGTTAGAAGGAAGGATCAAGCAAGGTCTGAGTGAGCCAGGGCCAATAGAGGATTGAGTCCCTCTGCGTGCCCTGAAGATACAGGACTGGAAAGAAGGTTGGGACACATTTTTAAGGACAAGAGGAAGTAATGGGAATTGTTCAGAGGAAATACAGTGGGGATAAAGCAGAGTTTTTGTTAGAAGAGAGAGAACATTCATTCTTCATTTTAGGTTGACTTTATCTGGAGTATGTTCAGATTGAAGATCACTTCAGAGCATTACTTCTGAGATCTGTTTGAGATCTTTTTGTCAGCTTCAGAGTTAGAGTTGGCAGTCAACTATTGCTACTTAAGCACATTGTTCTTCAGTATGGCTTACGTGTGACAGGGTTTGTTTTTATACAGGGTTAGTCTCAGTGTAAGAGGAATTTTATATTAAAAATATTTTCCACAGCTTTGTTGTCATTGCTTATTTTGTATTGTTTTTAATTTGCAAGGCTAGTCCTGCTGATTTATTCAGGTATATGAGAAAGGAGAGGGGTTAATGGGAATGGGATGATGAGTTCCTTTTATGCAATTTGCTTTTATGAGCTTTTATTAGGAGGTGTTTGTATTATCGTTTACTGCTGATTTGCTTTTGCATTTTAGATACCTCAAGGAAATTTGTGTCTCTAATTAACTGATTTACTGTTTGGAGTTCATAAATTATCTTCAGTCAGTTGGGGTTTTATTAAATGGATTTTTTTTCTGTTCTGAATATGAAGCTATGTTTAAGCATTAGCGATGTTGTGTGATGACTTCTGGAGTGACCTTTGAATTCCCACTTGCTTTTTTGCCCTAGGCAGTAATGGCCTTTCAAAGGGAAACTGGCAACAGATACTGTGATCATTTCCAAAGGGTCAGATGAAGAATCTGACTATTCAAATTATGTTCTTTTTAGGCTATTTGCATGCCAATTATTGTGATTTATAGTGAGTAAACAGTGACTGACAAAGGAATCATGGGAGCTCTTGAATAAATTGTGGACACATTTTAGACTTAGTTAACTATTGCAGAGGTAAAACTATGATCGTTAATTAAGGAGCAATGATACAAAAGGATGGAAATGGAGTACTGAGGTACTCTCTCTCTTTAACATAAGCATTTTTTGTCTCCCTTAAAGAAACAAAGAAGTTGTAAAGTATTTGTTAAATCAAGGAGCTGACGTCAATCTTCGTGCGAAAAATGGATACACAGCTTTTGACCTGATAATGCTCCTGAATGATCCAGGTATGTTATTTCAGAGAGCACTGAGGAAATGTTTGTAATTGCAACATAACCAGATACACATCTCTTTTGACGTAGAAATTGCATTAAATTTGCTTCAAGATACTGACTGCAGTCTATGCTAGACTAGACCAAGAATGGATACTGCCTGAAAATGTTTTTTTTTTTTTAATCAGTTGTTTAGATGCATATATACATTTATGGGCTAATGGATATTCTGTGGTCCTTTTATCTTTGTTTTTGAAGGTGTTCTAAAATGTTGTTTGTGTCATCGGAGCCAGTTCAATAGCACTTACTTGTGGTGGCTTAGATATTGTCATTAGTGCTGAGCTAGGAACTGGAACTTGGAAGTTTCCATTTGGCAGCAGTTAAGGGACAGGACGAAGAAAGTGCAATCAGCACAAGACTAGTGAACTGGCTGGAGCTCCCACTAGGTCTGTAAAGGCTAAGATTAAATCACACTTCGGCATTCAAGTTAGTAGTCATGGGAGTGCTTTAGAAAAAGCCAGTGTGCTTTGAGGAGACTTTGATGAAACACATTTAGATTTTGTTGTAGTTTGTTTAGCCTACCTAATTTGGGACGTTATTATTAAACTTGCCTGGTAGCTAGATTGCTTTCTCTGAAGCTGAAAAACAGTAGTGCTAATGGAAAGAATGTTCATGTTCATTTACTCAGTGTTGTTTTTGATCGCTAGCACGTAGCTTTGCTTTGTCAAAAGTCGGTAACTAATAGTATAAAATTTTAGAAAATAAATAATGGTGAATGTGTTTTTCTTGTAACTAGCTGCTTGTAGGACAGAATAGTTCATCTTGTTCAGCAAGGGGAATATAGGTTGGTTCTGTCTGCCCTTCTTTTCCTGTATAAAAATCCTGTATATAATACAGTTTCACAGAATATTTCTTGCTTTCCTGTCCTCATCTTATTCTTTTTTTCTTCCTCTTCCTTTTTTTTTTTTCTTCCTTATTTTTTTTTACTCTATATTTTTTCTTACCCTGTCTTTTCAGTCCCTTCATTGTCCAGGCTGAACATCTCCTTTCTCTTTTGGGATTTAATTTCAAGCTTCTTTTCTGCAACCTACACTTGAAGAAAGAATATTCCTTTTTCTCTGCTCTCTTCTGCGTCAGGTGAGAAAAGGGAGCATCCCAGTACTGTTCTTAACTTCTACAAAGTGTGTGAGCAGGCAGTTCGTTTGGTCACACATGACTGAATGGCATGATTATTTCTACTGATACATGTGTTTAGAGAAGCATTGGTAAGACTGCAGCCCACTGTGTGGGGAGAAGGGATGGGAAACAGAAGCCAAGAAACAAAGTTTTGTGTATTCCTCTGCTTTGTTTGAGAGGTGTTTCAGCATATCAGTCATGATTTGGCAAAGCAAAACAGACTAAAAAGTATCTTAATTTGTTTTCTTTTAGACACAGAACTTGTACGGTTACTCGCATCAGCATGCATGCAAGTAGACAAAGACAAGAATAAACTCAACAACAGATCATCTTTGCCTTGTTCCAGAAGTAGGCAATCCTTAAATGTCCCAATACTGCCAGATGACAAAGGAGGTTTAAAGGTAAACATATTCAGTCACTCTTGCTGAATGAAGCAGAGAAGGTCATTGCTAAGAAGTACTTTGGATCTAATATGTAACTAGTTGTGGGGATTTTTCCCCTTCTGAATTCCTGGTTGTTTCCTGGTGTTATGATATTCAGCTTTCTTTCTCTTCAAGTAACAAGGCAAAGGGAAGACTTCTAAAGAAGAGTCAGCATCAAAGCACATTTCAGTGCCTAGAAATAGAGGCCATAATTAAATAGTAGAATGTATTATATTCATGAGTTTGGAAATGAATTTCCATTATGATCTTAATTTTAAATCATCCAAATGTACTCCAATTTTAGTAGACTTTTCCTTTACTCATAGCAGATCTTTTTACTTTGAAATTGGAGTGGATGCGTTTGGGATCTCCTAACAAAGTAAGAAGTTGCCTGTTTATATATTTGCTCTATGTAGAATTTCCAGTTGTAGTTCTTTATATTTTTCTTCTGTGGTATTTAGTGAACACTAGAAGAAGAAAAGCATGATGTAGGAAGTAAACTGAAGTCCAGGTAGTGTACTTGAAAATACTGTGACTACGTGCAGGACAGCCCAGACTTGAGAGGCTTCATCATAATACTGTAAGAAGAATAAAAAGGAAGGGTTTAGATTCATCATGAAGTGGTAGACTTCTACGAGAGAGGGTGGACTTCATTTCAACCATGAATGGAGGTTGGCACTGAAAATTAAGAAGGTTTTAATATGAAAAATTAGCAGGGGTTTTAATATGAAAAATGGAAGAGGGTGCAATTCAGGCTTACATGTCCTCTGGAGAGTCACTGGAACACTGTATGCTTATCTAGAAATTGGCAGTAATCCAGTAGGAGACAGTAGGAGTGTGTGCCATTTGAACAAGGACATTGTGACTTACGTTGTCTGTGTTCAAAAAAAAGAAGGAAAAAGTTATTAGCTTATTTTGTTGTTGTTGCTGATTTTATTTGTTTAGGTGAAAATTCATTGATGATCTTACACCTCATAATTTCCTTGATTCTGTAATCTCACATTGTTAGCATAAATGTTATGCTAAAATTGGAATCTTGGAAACACACATGCTAATTTCCAGGCTATTTCTGACACAAATTTTAAAGACCACTTATAATTCTACTTTAGCTCAAATTGATTTTGCAATTTTAACAATGATAAATTGTTAAAAAAAAAAAAAAAAAAAAAATTCATATCATTATTCAATATGATACAACTTCAGTATCGGTTTAGGTGGGCCTATTTAGGAATGCACTTACCTAGTTTGGGGATTTCAGAACAGTCTTTGGCATTACAGAAAGCAGATCAACTGCAAGTCAGATTGCAACTCTTGCACAGATAGGGGTCCAAGGCTGGGGTCATATATGAACTGAGGTCATGTAAGATTTTGAGGTAAAATTAGAAAAAAACAATTTTGTAGGATTTGTTGATAAAGATTTAAATATGAGTACTGACATTGAATATTTTGACATATATAATGTTGGAATATTTGGTTGAAAAACATCAAAACATTACAGAGTTTGCAAGTTAAGTCTTAAGCACTTTTTCAACAGAAGTATTCTATATAATTCTGTGTATGTGTGCATATGTGCATATCTATAAAGCAAATACAACCCTCTCTTCCAAAATGGCTTAGTGCTTTATTAACTATTCTGTCTGATCAGGAGTATGTTACATATCTTATTCTCCATACTGAGAATAAACAGAGTAAAAATGATATTTTCAGAGTGACTGGGGTCATCAAACACATCTTGTTTTAGACCAGTGCGTGAGGAGAATGCACAAGTGAGGGATTTGTCCTTGGCTTTGTAGAAGTGGTGCTTCCATGTGGACAACTCCTCTGTGCTGAGCCAAGACTGTAAAACAAATTGCCCAGAAGGTTTCGGTGAGCTATTTATAGTCACTCAGACAGTACATAAATTTTCTGTCTAGGTCAGTGCAGATGGCAAAACGTGGAATCGCAGCAATGGAGGAATGAGAGGGAACTTGATGAGCCCACCTGTCTTTATGTAAGGAGACAGAACGAATATGCCAAGAACATCCTTGACAAAGTTTCTGTTCTCTTCTCTCACTGTGATGAAAAAGGTCCATAGTCTAATTTTGCAGCTGGTTCCACTGCTTGTCTGTTCCTACAGTCAGTTTTTTTTTCCCTTGGTATAAGCTAAATCTCTCTTGCTGCGTATTAAGTCAATTGTTTTTCAGTTACCAGTGTCCACCTTCACCTTTATAGGAATTATATACATACTTAGAAAAGATGAAAATTCTCTTAAATCTTTTATTTTCTATAATAATAATAAAATGTATTCATATTTCCTTGTTTGCAGACTGTTTCCTAAACTTCTTCCTATTTCTAGTTTGTCTGTATTAGTCTTAAGGTCAGGTGTCCAAAACAAGTAATGAGATTCTAACTAAGGTCTCAATATTACATGGCAGGGTACAAAAGCTACTTTCACAGTCGTGTATCTCATGGGGTGGTCAGTGAAATTTGCCATTTTCTTGCAGTAGTAAGACACTGTTGACCTATTCTTAGGGGACATATGCTTAGTTGGTGCTATGTTAGAACTCTGATTTTCTTTTTTCTTCAGTACAGCTGTTTTTCTTATTATTCCCTTTTCTGTATTTATACACTTGATTTCTTCTGCTTACATATGACCTTGCCCCCCCCCCCCACTGAATTCAATTCATCAGTGAATTGAAGTCAATTCATCAGTGTAATGACCTCCTGAAGTCAATTCATCAGTGTAATTTGGAGTATCTAAGGTGCTCACAAAACCGTCCAGATGGATGTCTTACACAGACTGTACAAAATTAATGCTGTTTCATCATTGATGTTGTTAACGACTATTTCCAAGCTCACGTTTCACACCACTGAATATGCTCTACTCATCTTGGAGTAAATTGCTGGTAATTTGTCTGTTAATGTGTCTTTTGGTTATCACGCTTTTCCTCTCCTAATTTTACTAGAAGCATATTTTGTCATTTGTTCAGAGAATGGTACATGGAATATTGATAAAAGCTTTATTAATGTTAAGCTATGTTACAGCTTCTCCTCCTTTCTGCCACTTCACCAGTTAGTCTGTCAGAGAGATTGATTTGGTGTGATTTATTCCTGACAAACCTATGCCAGCTGTCTTTTATGAGCTGTGAGTACATACAAAGTTTTTTCAGTGATGTCCTTTCAAGTTAGAGAACAAATCTTATGAGGAATGGTTGAGAGAAGTGGGGTTATTTAGCCTAGAGATAAGGAGGCTCACGGGAGACCTTATCTCTCTCTATCTCTTAAAGGAGGTTGTAGAGAGGTGGGGGTCAGTCTCTTCTCCCAAGCAACAAATGATGGGACAAGAAGAAATTGCCTCAGGTTATTCCAGGGGAGCTTTAGGTTGGATATTAGGAAAAATCTCTTCTCTGAAAGGGTTGTGAAGCATTGGAACAGGCTGCCCAGGGAAGTGCTTGAGTCACCATCCCTGGAGGTCTTTAAAATACATGTAGGTGATGTGCTTAGGAACATGGTTTAGTGATAGACTCAGTTATCCAGCAAAGTAACCTTGCTAGGTTGGACTTGATGATCTTGGAGGTCTTTTCCAACCTAAGTGATTTTTTGATTCTGTGACTTTAAATTAAGCTGATTAGTCAGTAAATTTTCAGATTTTCTTCTTTGGGGAAGTGTGGTAATGTATTTGCCTTTTGCTTCTGTAATTTCTTCCATCCTCTTCACTTACCTTGAAGATAATATTGGTTCGGAGTTTGTGTTGTCTGTAATTACTCCAGGTAATCAGTTCTTTTTGTTTTAATCTGTGCAAGCTTATTTCAATAGTTTGTTAACCAGGCACATCACTAAGGGCAGATTGTGCCTGACAAATCTGCTGGCTTCGTACAGTGGGATCACAGCATTTGTAGATAGGGGAAGAGCAACTGATGACATCTACCTGAACTTGTTCAAGGCATTTGACATGGATTTGACAGATGGACCACTGAGTGGGTAAGGAATTGGCTGGATGCTCGCACTCCAAAAGTCAAGGTCAACAGTTCAATGTCTAGGTGGAGATCAGTGATGACTGGTGTTCTAGGTGGGACCAGCACTATTTAACATCTTTGTCAGTGATGTGGACAGTGGGATTGAGTGTACCATCAGCAAGTCTGCTGATGACATCAAGCTGTGTGGTGTGGTCAACACACTGGAGGGAAGGGATGACATCCAGAAGGACCTGGACAGGCTTGTGAGGTGGAGCCGTGCAAACCTCATGAGGTTCAACAAGGCTGAGCTCAAGGTCCTGTACCTGGGTAGGAGCAATCCCAAGCAGAAATATAGGCTGGGTGGAGAATGGATTGAGAGCAGCCCTGAGGAGAAGGACCTGGGGTGTTGGTTGACAAGAAGTTCAACATGAGCCAGCAATGTGTGCGCTTAAAACTCAGAAAGCCAAGCAAATCCTGGGCCGCATCAAAAGAAGCGTGGCCAACAGGTCGAGAGAGGTGACTCTCCCCCTTTACTCTGCTCTCGTGAGATCCCAACTTCGAGTACTGTATTCAACTCTAGGTCCCCAGCACAAGATGAACGTGGAAGTATTAGAACAAGTCCAGATGATGGCCACAAGTATGATCATAGAGCTGGAGCACCTCTCCTACAAAGATGGGCTGAGGGAGTTGGGGTTGTCCAGCCTGGAGAACAGAAGGTTCCAGGCAGACCTTATAGCAGCCTTCCAGTAACTAAAGGGGGCCTACAGGAAAGCTGGGGAGGGACTCAGTGTCAGGGAGCATAGGGATAGGACAAGGAGTAATGGCTTTGAACTAAAAGAGGGTAGGTTTAGCTTAGATATTAGGAATAAATTCTTTACTCAGAGGGTGATGGAGGCACTAGGTCAGGTTGCCCGAAGAAGCTGTGGGTGCCCCATACCTGGAAGTGTTCAAGGCCAGGCTGGATGGGGCTTTGGGCAGCCTGGTCTGGTGGGAGATATCCCTGCCTATTGCAGGGGGGGTGGAACTGGGTGGTCTTTAAGGTCCCTTCCAACCCAAACCATTCTGTGATTCTGTGTGGTCGATGACTGTTTTCTCATCCTTTACCCCTTTTACTTAGAGGTTCACTTAGGAACTAAGAAGTAGTAGTAGAAATAGTTTCCCACCATTTTCTGGACTTGGAAACAAAGTTGCGTCCTTAGTGTACGCAAAGATCTTATTTCCTCTTTCCTTGTTGCCGGTGCTTTTTCAGCCAACAGTGCCCTCAATGTCAGCAGCAGAGCAATGTAAATTATCACATTCAGTTTCTTTTTTAGGATAAAGTTGCTTATAAAGTTGCTTTAAGACACAGATTTCCAGTGCTTCCCTAATTCTTTCTTTTCTAATATTGTTAAAAGTAGATAAGAGATTTCTCAAGTGGCAACACCTCTTTTCTGTTTTCTGATACTATTGCATTCTCCCATTGTTACTAGATCATAGCCTTTTGACAGATGCTGTTTTAACCATGGATGCATTTTTATTTGGCTTTTTCAATCTAGCTTAAAGCCCCTTGTTCTAGCTTCTGTCTCTCATGTGCAAGGTAGGCCGCAACTTCCTGCAGCAACACGCTGGATGCTCCACAGCTCAGATGACCCTACTCTGATCACCAGAAGACAAGATGAGCCTCTCTACCAGCTTTCCTTCCATGCCAGAGAGTAGTAGAGTACTTTGTATGGTAGTGTAGTGGCTTCACCTACTCCATGTTAGGTACTTCGTGGTGAGAGCCTATGTTAGCAGATCAGAAGCCTATAAAGAGTAGCAAAGATGAGGGGAACTGAGAAGTGATCTTTTTGCCCAGTGAAGCTAGCTTGTTCCCGTAACAAGCAAATGACGTTGTACAATCAAGTTCTTTTGTAAGATCACTGTTCTCCATATTAATACTAGATGGATTTTTGTCCTTTCAGTTCCTTTTGGAAGGTGAATAAATGCTGAACTATGTGGTTTTTACTGCTTTCTCGGAACTATTTGTCTCTCTTTTTCCACCAGCTCTTTGTTGATGAAAGTAGTGTATATCTTTATTAGTTATGACTCCAAAGAGATAGAGAGGTCTGAGGACTCTGTCCATTAGTAATGCTCTGAGCAGATTTAAAATCTTTTTAATGATCATCTGCTGGAAGGATTGAATTATGGAGAGTAAGTTTGCAATTTATATTACTTAGTTCTGCTCTGTGACAGTTAGGAAGAGATATATCAGAAAGCAGTTCAGAAATGTTAAATGTCAGGGAGAGAGGGGAATATATATGGTGAGAAGGAATGGCTAAGAATAAAGAGTAAACAAGGAAAGTATAGGTCTGGGTTGGGTATCTTATAAAGCAGCCTTGATGAAATACCATCATTTTAAAATATCTTTTTATTTATTTTTTTTAAAGTGTTCCAGAAACCAAAGTAGCTTTACTAAGAAATAGTCAGGACATATTTAGAATCTTGACTTATTAACCTCCAAGCCACATGATGTTTAATGGACTGCCTGCATGGGTTTTCTTAATATTGACTTAGAAGTCTTGTATAGTCTGGAGAAATGTAACAGGAAAAAATGTAATCATCCTGAATACTTGAAGCATTTTATATCATCTGCCTACAAAAATATAGAAATTTGTAATCTATTTGTATAAATTCTTGAGCAAAGCTCAGACAATTGCCACATAATCAATACCTATATGGGTGCAAGCTGCAGGTGCAGTAGTCCTTAGGCTTGTGTTGTTTTCACAGCTGGTCTTTCTTGCCTGTCGGTCTATAGTCTCTCCAGTCTGAAAGGGTTTAATTTTATCTGTACAGCAGCACAATATGTATTGCAATTCTTGATTCTGATAGGAATGCTATTAGAACTCTTTTAGTTTGCCACCAGTTTTTAAAATCTTAAGGAGAGGCTTTCATGTGGGTCAGATAAACTTTTGTGAATGGCTCTAAAAAGAAGAAAACATGTATGCCAGTTCATTGATGTCAGAGAGTGTTGGACAAGTTGGAAGCTTATTGTAAGATTAAGTAATTGCCATGTAGCTGCAAAAAAATTCTCACTCAAATTGTCCTAATGTTTTTATCTAATTTGTCTTTCTAGATACAGTAGAAAAATATTGTAAGCTTTTTGTCAAATGAAATATAAGGAGAAAGGTGAATCTTACCTATACAACCCATGGGGAAGAATTCTGTTGACGATTGCAAACCATTTTAACATTCTTTTGTAGTTTCCCTGTAAAATTCCTTCATCACTGCAGTAAAGAGTACTTAATTGTACTTTTCTTTTCCTTTTTTAGTTGGAACTTATTTTTCTTTTTCCTTCTCAATCTAGTCTTGGTGGAGCAGGATGTCCAATCGATTCCGCAAGCTGAAGCTGACTCAGACGTTGCGCCATGGGTTTTCTTCCAATCAGTTTGGGCCTTTTCCTGATGGGCCTGAATCTTCATTAAATTCCACCATAAAAGCACCACAGAGTGATACAGACACCTCCGGAACCTCTGATGCTCCAACAGCTTGGGTCACAAATAACAAAGGTAGTGGTAAACCCAGAGTTGTCTGATGGGAAGTGAACTCTCATGGGGATAGTCAAGATGATACCATTTCTAATTTATTGATTTAGTGTTTGCTTAATTTAATGGAGCTGAAAAATCACATCATGTATCTGTACTGAACACCTGCAACATCATTTCAGCAGGAAAATGCTAATGTAGCAATGTTACTGTTCTGTAGCAAGCACCATTAAATTTGACAGGAGAAACAGCTCAATCAAAAATCATTAGTATTCTTGATGAACTTATTTTTTTATAGTGACAACCAGTTTGTGTTAAAAAATAAACCTGAGACAAAAGATCAGAAAAACCCAAGTTGCAAAGCACATCTGGTGAAATTATGCTCTCTGTGCAAAACCCCTCCAGTTTGTGATGTGAAATAAGATTATCAGCTTAACTTTAATTTAGGTAACTGAAAGTCTCAGTGGAAAATTTGCTTGTGTGTGCTCATAGGGGATACAGCTGTTGAATGTTTGAAAACAAAAGCTGTCATTGAGAATAAGAAGCAGGGGCATGTAGACAATAACATTTCATTTATGTTTTTTTCAGGTGTAAACACTGCAAAAGGAGGGAAGAATGATGAACTGTTGACAACCATGGTATGTTGCAGTGCTCTTGGGATCTTCAGTCCAATTCATAAGATCATACAGCTACATGTTTCTTGTTAGTTTTTGTTTTTTAACCTGCTGTCCAAGTAACCATTAAAAAGAGAACTATAAGTTGTTGGTAGTCACTAAACAGGAACTGACAAGCTGTGGTACATCTGTAGTTCTGTAGACTAGTAAGTGCCTCAAATAGTACAGTATGGCAGCTCTTGGGAGATACTTGGTAGATACTTTTTTCACGTAAAGTTTTCAAGAACTTTTTTTAAAGAGCAGTCTATACCTTTGTACGAACAGTAATGAATTAGTAAAGTAGATTGAACAGCTAATGAAGTATGCTATGAGGGAAACATCGAGCACAGTGCAATGTGAAAGTGAGAAATCATGGAGGAAACCATGAAATACTTAGTTTGGGATGTGTGCTTATGTTATTCTCTTTCTACTTTTGTTACACTGGAGCGTTAAGTTCCCCCACAATTTACTCCCTGGAGATGTCAGTAAGTTTGGCTGTTGATTTTTTTATGTGTTCTTTTACAAAGATTGAGCAAATATTGATATGACTGACTGACAGAACTCCAGGGACCCAGTGTCATTTTTGTTGTTCTCTTCTTTTTTCTGGAGAATACACATAGAGCAGGAACAAATATTTGTTCACTATTTCTAGGTGTCTTATCTAGGAATTCAGAGTAGACAACCTTACCAAGCATCCTGTTTGTTATTTCGTTGGAAACTACTTGTTAACATTCCTGCTAAAATGACAAGAAAGGAACAGCTTCTGTCACTTAATGAACTGTGTTTGTTGCATCAAATGAACGAGCTTGTTCACTGGTGCCAGTATGAACACTGGATGTGTCTGCTATTATGTATTGTACATCTTCACAAATACTACTTTTATATTTCATTTCCATTTATTTTTTTTTTAAATGCATCTGTCTCCATCTTTTTATTTGATTTTGAAACTACATCATTAGCTCCCAATTAGCTTTCTAAGAAGAGTCTCTTTTCTTTTTTCCTTTCTTTCTTTTCGTCTCTCAGTTGAGAAGTAGTGCTCCATTTACCAGGCTGCCCAGTGATAAACTGAAAGCAGTGATACCCCCTTTCTTACCACCCTCGAGTTTTGAGCTTTGGAATTCTGACCGAACACGAATCAACAAAGATGGCAAAGCTGAACAGATGAGAACTGCCTGGCCACAGAGAGTGATCAAGCACGATTTTAACAGCAGTGGGAACTCTGATGTAGTAAGTAAACGAAATATGTGAAAAAATATCATGTATTATAACGTCCAGGGCATGCTGGCTGGTGAGTCCATGCTGGTTTTGTGTTTAGACATTATTTTGAACCCATTGTCACTAGTAATGGCTTGTCCTTTTAAGATCTCCTGTCTAAGAAGAATATACGTCTCTGTGGAGGGAACATAAATAGGATGAAAGGTCTCTATAAAATAAAACTACTTGTTTGCTGTAAACCAGAATAATGTCTAGCCATAATGAATTTGTTGCAAACTGCTGAAGTGACAACTGGTTCCACCTATACATTTTAGTTGCCAAGGTAGGTGCAGTCATTCTAGTGTGGCAGAAACTGCTCTGCTTTTGAAGACAGCATGGGGGAGAAGAAAAGAATAGAAGATTCTCAATTTTTAGGACCTGAAGGGAAGAGAAAAAACACTGGTGAGCTATATTGTATATGAAAATACAATGACATAATATGCTGAAAGGGTTAGTATATGACAAAACAGTAGCAATGGCGATCACATTGGCTTGAAGACGTACAGACTCAGTACAAATAGTGTAAAAGGGGGAAATAAAAGTTTGAATAAAAGTCTAATTTTTATAGAAGGAGCTTGCCTGATCCTGATTTTACTTTTTTTTTCTCTTTTTTTTGTTTGTAGTGAAAACACAAAACAAAAGGAAAATACCTTGTTTGCAGGAAGCAAAACAACTTTGACAACCTTTGCTTTCATAGTTAGTAGGAAAAAAGAGGTCTTGCTTCCTTGAATTACGGCTCTTAAATTGAAGGTTAAAGAAGAGTTTATATTACTAGTCCAGAATTGTATTTCTTGTCCGTTATAGAAATGGGACAATAAAGACATTTTAGTAGACATGTGGAGAAGGCAATTGATAGATCCCAGGAAGGTAAAGTTTGGTTCATCATCTGGAAAGGATAGCTGTAGTAAATGATTGTAGGAAGATGATTGTAAGTGGATAGTTGGGTCCCATGAGGAGCACGTGAGGAGCAGGGCAAGTAGAGGAGAACTAGCCATGGATCCCTCTGTAGGGAATGTAGGGGAATGTGTAGGAGAAAGGAGAGAAATGTAGTAAATCTGTTCTGTAAAATAGGAGGAACAAACAAAAAAAAGGATTCTGCATGAAAGAAGCTTTACATGTGATTTTTTTTGCCACTGTTCATAATATTTCCTATACTGTTTCTCAGGTGCATTGCACGTACGCACATTTTATGTTGGCCAAAGGTTAAGGAGAATTAATCTTCTTTTTTATATCTTCAATGAATGACGTGATATATATTCAATGTTACATGCATTTATATAACTACATATATTCAATACATTATATATGTTTTTATAAATGTATTTGTAAATGTAAGATAAGATTATTTTACAGAGAAAGTTTCTGAACTTACAGTAAATAGTCATTGAATTTTTTTTTGTTGTTTTGCTCAAGTAAGAAAGATAAAAATTATTTTTATTTTTCAGATGTCTGTTAGCAAAGGTACAAGGCCAGTCAAATTACCAGCATTTGCAAGAAGACCTGCATCTCCTTCAAATTCCAACAACTTCAACCATTCTCCCCATTCTTCTGGTGGATCCAACAACATTGCAGGAATTAACAGGCACGGAGGAGAACTGCATAACAGATCAGGTACCGTGCTTCCCTTGTTTTTAATACAAAAGTCACTTGAGTTCACGCAAAAAAAAAAAAAAGGTATTTCTCATGATTGTAGAAGAAATTAAACCTCTTTTGAGGGCTTGTACTGCTGCATAATCAAAACTTCTATGAACTGTTGGAACAGGACTGAAGTTTGGATACAAAGGGAACAAAACCTTGTATGTAAGGGATATGTAAGGGAACAAAAACCTCACATCTCACACATTAACCCCTGTCTCAGAGAAACCTTGTTGATTTTACTGAGTCCACCAGTGGTGAATTAGGCATATACGTGTTCATTGCTGTGTGTATTTCATGGAGCTTACATGTGTTGCTTGCTTTTTTGTTTAAATTAAAAATATTTTTTAATTAAAAAACAAGGGGTAAACATTGTATCTGCCATTGTATTGTCTCTGTAAAGAGATACGGTGAGGCAATTCATGAAATATATCCAAGAGTATGAAAGTCAACTATGTACGTGCTTGTATAGGCAAGACTGGCTCCTGGTTGAATCTTGTCTCATTTGCTGACAGTTGCTGAACAGATCTGAGCCTTGCTGTTCTTACATGTATTTATGTTCTCTTATTTAGTGCAGTCTGTTTTGAAGAGGAAATGAGTGGTGAAGAAAGGCAAATTGAGGATTAACAGACTTTTAAAAATGATGGTCTCCTTGACGCTGTGTTTGGATTCTTTTTTCCTTAGGTGGCAGTGCAGATAATGTTTTGTCTCAAATCGCAGCCCAGAGAAGAAAAGCAGCAGGCTTACCTGAACAGAAGCCCAGCCAACAGAATAGTCCAGTCCAGCCAACTCCTTCATCCACCCAGTCTGATTTGCAGTGTGCTCAAACTGTTGGCAATGGACATGTAGTAAAGGTACAGATGAGTGCAATTTTTTCTACTTCTAAATTGATTTATTTTAATAGGCCATTCCTCAGTCATTGGTGATTCATAAATACAACTGCACGACATTGCACAGCCTAAAGTGAATGAATATGCTGCTACAGTAGTGGAAACTTTTCAGCTCTACAAACCTTCCTTCTCATTACAAATTCTCGAAAGGTCAGACATAATAAAATATGATTTTGGTTTATTATTATTTTCACGCTCTTTTAAAAGCAATAAATGTAATACTTAGGGTAAATGTGTACTATGTTTCTTATGACTTCTTCCTATGGCCCTGACTGAGTCCAGCATTTTTACATGTTATTTAATCCTGAGCTTTCCTCTGAAATGGTATAGCTAGTTTCCCTCCAAAGGCACAACCTGAGTGAAGAACGTGAGATTGTGTGTACTGGGATCTGTCCACCCCAAAAGTATGCATGTATTCATCCATGAGGTGTTATTTTCAAACAGTATGAGCATTCAGTTTTCATAACCAAAGCCAGGTTTTGCTCACGAATGCAGGCTGCATTATCTGTGCTGAATTTCCTGTGAATTTCCTGAAATGGCTTTGCCCTCATGACCTGCCCGTTTATTTTTTTTTGTGTGTGTACTTTGAAGCTAACAGCTGTATAGTGCAAAACTTTAAAGGGTAAAGATCAAAAATCTTTACTCTTCACAGAGACAAATTAGAGAGTAGCATCGTTACAGGAGATGTGGATTTCACTATCATGAAATCTGTCTGTTGATTAACATGGGGCAAGTTTAAATTTCAGAGAGCAAGAGGAAGAAAGCACGACTGAGGGTTTTAGTTCTAAATTCTGGTATTCTGCAAATGGTAGTATACATGACCAAGAGCAAAATTTCTCTTTTTTTTTTTTTTGGTTATGGAATCTCTAAACAACCCTTTATTTTGTTTTGTGTTCTTTGCATTTGTTTGTGAAATTCTTCTTAGAGTTGTGCCTCAAGAAACAAAAATGGCCATAATACAAAATTACTACCTTTGCTATCTCATTCTGTGATGTCTTATATGGCAACAATAAACAAAATATATATTTAATAAGTTAAATTTGATGATAAATGAAGTTACAAAATAGTTTAGTGATTTAATAAGTGAAATTTCTGGCAAACAATGGTCAGAAAAAGAAAAGTGTGCAACTGCTGGCATCAGAATGGTTTTCATGAACAGTCACTTCATCTCTGATCTGTCAGCCCTGATTCTAAAGAGACTACAAGTCACTTTTCAAAGATGAGATTGGGAGCTACAACTCTGCTGGACCCCAGAAGCTATGGACTCATAATCTTTTCTCCCTTCTACCCACATAACTGCTCCCCAGGTTATAAATGATCTGTCTCTTTCCTTCCTGTAGACAAAGCTACTTCATTATCCTTTTCGCTCCCTAAAGTCTCCTCTACTGAACAGGTACCATGTGCTTTTCCTTTCAGAGGTGGTCTGACCAATATATTTCTAATTAAACTCCCAGCAGTTGCTCTCAGCTCATTTTAGCTTGGAAATAATTTCAGAAAGTTGGTATGCCCAAAAAACGTTACTACATTTTTTTTTTCCCCTGATTATATTAGCTAGCCTATTAAGAGATAATACCTGTTCCTGTAACTTTTGAGCTGCAGATCTTAGGACCTGTTATTACAGCAATGCTGCCAGTAAGAAGTTTAATTACTATTCCCACTCACAGTAGAAGACATTAGATAATAGGGGATAGAGAAGTAGAGAGCAGTGATGCCCTATAAATCATCTTCTGGGAAGGCAGTTCATCATACTATTGAAATTTTTTTTAAATAAAATTGATGCCTGTGTGTTGGAAAGGCAACAATTCTTTCAGTGCTTTTTGCTGAGATGTCTAGATGAAGTTCAGTCTACCCATTGATTTAAAAAAAAAAAAAAAAAAAAGTAATGAATGTGGATCTCAGTATAGATGTCCAGAAAATCATCAGACATGATACACGAACAAGAGTTCTCTGTTGGCAGTATGCAATTGCACAGGGATCCACACTGGCTGCAAGAGCTTAAGCAAGCTACTTTTTGGTTATAATAAACATCTTAAGTGCTGGAAATTTAGCACCCATATCCATCGTGGAAATGCTTGAGCCCTCCCGTTAAGATCATGCTGTCTAAACTTGGAAATAACTGATCTAAAAAGTGCTGTGATGTTACACTGCTCCATTTGCAAAAGCTGTTCATGAGGGTATCGTTTGTACAAGCCTTAAACAAGAGAAGCAAAAGGCTGAGTAACAATTTACAGAGTGATTTAATTTACATAAACGCAGGCAATGCACCAAAGAAGGAAGAACATTTTAAAACACGAATGTAAAATAGTAGACTACAGAGAAATTTGGGAATGTATCAAGGGACAAAACATAAGAATGAGCTCACAGTGTTCTGCAGAAACCTCTCAAATCTGTATCGTGCTTCTAGTCAAATGCAGGGACTGAGGGCATAGTGCATTGTGGTGTAGGACAGAGTAATGGAAGAATGCTACAAACTTAAATTAGTTTTATCTTTTTAATCTGCATCTCCTTGATTAACTAGAAATGCTCCCTTTATGCCACAGCACAGTAGCAAAACTTAGAGAGCCAGGAATCACAGTCTCTCTCTCCTTCTTTCCTTGTTACCTACCTCAGTGTTTTTCTTATGTCTATCTTATAGCATCCTGACTGACAAAAGTATTTTAAGTTAAACTCTGAATTCAAGAATCCAGGAGAAAATCACATAGACTTCTCTTTAGGTCATATAGTGCAAACATCAAAATGTTTGAAGTGGTAGGTAGATCTAGGAATTTAGGATGTGAGTTACATTAACTATTTGAAAAGACTGATGTACCTACATATGTTTGGTGTGTGTTTTTTTTTAAAACTCATTTATAATTCACTAATTTTCCCATTTCCATGCCTCCACATTTAATTAAGTATCTGTAAAATATTAATAAATTTGGAGTCATTTAACTGATGTTGGGTAATATCAAGTTTAAGTATTGATTGGAAACTTTCATTCCAGTGAAGCAAGGTGTTTAAGTGCACCTAAAACTTGGTTTATGCTTGCTACTTATTTCTGTTAATCTAACATGAAGTGTTACTTTAAAATATCATCTGATATACTTTGAGAAGCTTTAATTGAGAGTTTGATTAAATTTCTCAACGAAAAAGACCTCTGTTCTGTTGACCTGAGTCAAAATAACTTCAGCTTTTATACAGAGTAGTTGTAATGCTTATATATGGAATTGTTTTATGAAAAATAATTTTCTTATTCCTAAATTGCAGCCTTAATGCATGTGTTTGCCTTCATGAGTTTGAGGGACTAACTCTCCTAGGGACTGACTTAGGATACGTCAATGTTACTCCAGTTATTTCAATATAGATCAAGCAGATACTTCTAGTTGTGAATACGTGCTCTGCAGAAATAATATGAATCATAAATAATATTGAAGCTTCATAAATAATATTGAAGCATCATATATAGGTAAACACCTTTTTTCTACTTTTTTATTCATGAAATGATTATATCATTACCTATAGCAAAAACTGGAGATGAACAAAAGACCTCCATCTGGGACTTCATCTACATCTAAAAGCACATCACCAACTCTCACGCCTTCCCCATCGCCCTCCCCGTCTCCTAAGGTTCACAACGTGGAGTCGTCTCTCTCTTCTTCTCACAGACAGGCCAAGAGCAACGGTTCCAGCAGTGGTACTATTACAGAAGATGGTGAGTAGGTCTCTGTAATTACATTTATCAAGAGCACATAGTGTTTAAAGCTGTAATTGTACTGGATTATTGTTTATCAGCATGAGAGTGAGAGTTGTTTTCTTTCTAGGAAAAAATACTTCAGTGTTTTCTGATTTGGGATTGACATTCCATCAGTAGCTGTGTCTATTTATCTTCCAAAAGCTGTGATCTCTTCCATTTAGAGGGAGATATTTACCATCTCAAAGCTAGCATAGAGCATGTAGGTAGGCCACTCTTACAGCACATCCTTTCTCTCCCCTCTCCCTCTACTAAGAGGGCTTAAATCCTGATTTTCCACTCTTTACTAAGGGTAGAAAATGTACGTTCTCCAAATTTGAAGTGAAAATATATTTTTAATGAATTCGGTGAAGCACATCGTTACAGAAATACAATTTTGTTTCATAACAATTCATAGGTACACGTATCTGCTTTTAAAAGCTGTATTGCTTTTTATCTTTTTTTTTGAATTGCAAAACGTAGCCTTATTTTGACCTTTCATTTTAAGTCACTACTTTTCCAGTGAGATTGCTGCCTTTTAATTTGAAATTTTAGATCTAAATTACATTTATTTTAAAAAGTCCTCTTACCATATTGGAAACAGGATATCAATTACTTCATTTTTTTTTTCCTCCTGTAAACATTTCAAAAAAGCGAGAAAAATAACATGACTCAGAATCTTTTAAATAAGAAATGTGGGTACCTTTTATCTAGTTTCTGCAAGAGGCACTTTTCCTATTTCTGGTGGGTTTTGCTTGTTTTTGCAAGTGTCAGGATTGATTTTTATTTTCGTTTATTTTAACTTTGTACTGGCACTGTACTTCCTTGTAGTTGACACTAAAAGGAGGTGGTATTTGACCCACTTTCTGTCCTCTTATCATGGCTTAGCTGTAACATATTGTACTGACTGCTGGAGAAAATCCTTTCACATTTTAGTGCCATTTTATAATGATGGCTTGATAACATAAGAGTTGTCAGTTTAGAAATATATAAAGGGAAGAGAACTGGTTCTTGGATAAGAAGGGGAATTCTCCAACCTATCAGCTGTTACACTCTCCCCTTGAGAAGCAGGGCTTTATGACTACACTGCTAGTGCCACGATACAGTGAGTTTCCTCTGTAGCAGAAGTATAGGTTGTCAGGAGCCTAAGTAGTTTGGGGTTCACTGTGCTTGTGACTTTCATACTTGAGTGGTCCTTTAATTCAAGGGCTTTTCTTACTGTGAGTTTATTTAGGAGCAACAAGTCAGAAGCCCAGCAGTTATCAGTAGAGTAAGTTATGCAATGTTAAATTTCTTTTTATTTCAAGAAAATTTAAATTAATTTTCTAATTCATTTTCTCTGGTTATCACTGTGAAGGACCAGTAGGCAGCGTGGTTCAGAAGTGCGCATGGTTTCTTTTTAGGCAATCAGTTGGTGGACCATCAACAGCTTTTCCCTATTCTGAGAACCAGTGATGTAGAGAATCATGAAAGAAGAAACCATGTGAGAGTAAAAGGAGGCTGTGAAAACTTGGAGAAAGGTAATCTTACCCTACTCCTATAGAATAGTACTAATAGTTGCTAAAAAGGAGTAATGTGGCAAAGCTCCCAGAACCTTTATAAAGACGTAGGTAGGGAGAGTAGGTATGGGTATAGGTTAAGTAAAGCAAAGATTTTGTGAAAAAGCAGAAGTGAAACATTATGCAGTGCAGGATATATAAAAAAAAAAATAAATAAATGAGAGGATTCTGGGGTTGTTCAAACTTAGTGTATAATACAGGAAGAGGGAAAGAGAAAAAGAAATCCTGAAAGGCCTACAGTTGAAAACGTTGTCTAAGTTTGTGAAAAGTATTAGAATTACAGTTTATCAAAGAATTGTAGAGTTGTTTGGGTTGGAAGGGACCTTAAAGATTAGCTATTTCAAACCCCCTGGTTATGAGAGTTGGCCTTCTTGGCTGCAGGCACTCACAGCTGGCTGATGTTGAGCTTTTCATCCTCCAGAACCCCCAAGTCCTTCTCTGGAGGGCTTCTCTCAGTGTGTTCTCCCAGTCTGTGCTTACATCTGGGATTGCCCCAACCCAGGTGCAGCACCTTGCATAGACTTGTTGAACCTCATTAGGTTCATGTGGACTGACTTCTGAAGTTTGTGCAAGTCCCTTTGGATGGCATCCCTGCCTTCTGTTGTATTGACTGCATCACACAGCTTGGTGTCATCTGCAAACCTGCTGAGGGTGCACTCGATCCCACTATCTGTTGTTCATAAAGATATTAAACAATACCAGTTCCAGGACAGACCCTCTGAGGGACACCACTCGTCACCGGCCTCCATTTGGACATAGAGTTGGCCACCACTCTCTGTGTGCGACCTTCAAGACAGTTCCTTACCTACTAAATGGTCCCTGCAATTGAGGGCAGCTCTTCTGCTCCTCTTGAGGTCTGTTTGGGTGTAAGCTTCTGCCTGCGGAGGTTGTGGCCCCTCCATTAGGGTTTCAGCCTCAGCCCAGCAGTTGTGGTGGATGGTCACCATTGTTGTTTCAGTAGAAGGCTTCTTCCAGTTGCTCCCGGAATAGAAGAAAGTGACTGGCCACTCTGTGATATTATTTATGACAGCAAGTCTCTAGGTTTTAAAGATACTGGAATTTTCTTCCAGCCTAAAATTTAAGCACACCAGTGTGCTGAAAAGTGAGAAGGGTAGCCAAGCTAAGAAGAAAAAAAGTTGATAATATATCTGAGGGCTTCTAATCTAACTTTTATTTTGTTTCTTTAAGATGGTATTTTTCATCAAGCTGTGTGAAGTTCTCTCACTGCATTTTTACAGCTGGCTATCTTTTCCCATGGACTAACCTCAGTTAGGGTGCTAAAGCTTTTAGCCTGAAACCATGTCAACCCTTACAAATCATGTTAAGCATACCAAACAAATTGGCCTTGAGGTAAAAAGCCAAACTCTAGCAAAAATAAGACTCAGCTGGAGTTATCACTTCAGTTTTCTGTGAGCTTTTCTGTGTGAACAAGGAGGCTTCCAGAATGCTGAACAGAAAAATGTGTTCATCTCAAGATACCTGATGTCTTTTGAGAAGCTTAGAGAGTGAAATTCTCTTTCATGTTTCTACTGGGGGTGAAAGAAATAGGACAGTCAAAAGTCAAAGAAGTGAAATAAACAAAAGCAAAATTGGGAGTGGAATGGTGATTATCTTTACAATAAATGTGAGTTTATATAGAGTATATTTAATATTGTTTTGTGCTGTAATGTTTTCATTCACGTTCTTCATTTTGACTTTGATTCTCTCATTCAGTTGATCACTGGTGATGCTGTCAGGGGTGAGGGGGAAAATGTTAGTCAATTGTGACAGCAAAGTGATAAAAATAAACAGGATCCTGAAGTGAGAGAGGTACTGTGTAATTAAGAGAGTTAATGGCGGGTTGTTCTAAAACTGCAGTTGTCTTTTGACTGTCTAATGACATTTTAAATGTGTGTTAAGAATTGCTATCAGGTTCTCCAACTTCTAATTTCCGTGCTCTTTGAGAGGAAACCCAATATCCAGTGCTGTTATCCTGGGAAAGTAAGCTTATGGAACTTAAATTCTGGCCAAGCTTCATCTTAGCTGGACTAAAGCTATCTGTGTTTAATACTGGATGCCAGGTACTTGAGGCGGAGAGGTTCGGATATACCCTTGTTATATCAGGGTTTTGAATGAGTGACTGGGTAGTTGCTTGCATTACATCTTGCCTTCCTGGATCATGATACAGAAATTCAGTTCAGTGCCTGCTTGAGGAGTTTTCTGTATAGACTGTGTGATCTGGGTCAGCCATCTGGGGCCAAGCACCTACATTTTAGACATGAAAATGCGTAAGTTTCATGTGTACATTTATTTAAGATCCTTTTTATGAGGAAGAAGAAAAAAGGATGCAAAAAAAGAATTTTATCCTAGCAAGGTACAATTAGATAGAATTACAGTATATTGAAGTAGGTGAGAACACAACAATATTTTTACTTCTGATCCAGAGTAAATGTGATCGGACTTTTGCTGTCATGTGTCATTGTGTGAAATATATCATTTAATAATATGCCCTTAGCAGTTAGTTAGTGATCTCTTCAGAGATCACTAAAATTGATCTTTTCTGACCCTTGTTTTGTTTTTGCAGATGAGCTGACTGGCATCCTTAAAAAATTGTCACTTGAGAAATATCAACCTATTTTTGAGGAACAAGAGGTAATTAAAAAAAAACAAAACCGTTTTAGGAAAGTATGGTGCAATATGCATTGCATTAGAATTGTGATCCAAATTATCAACTTTGAAGTTGTACAACAATTTTTGGCTGAAGGACCTTGAAACATGGATCAAGTGGTATTTCTGGAGTTCTCCAGGAAACTGCAAGTATCAGTGTTCTTTACAGCGAATTTACAATTTTGTTATAGATCGATGCTTCAATTTTTTCTCCCTTTTTTTTTTTTTTTTTTTAACATCCTGATTTCTCTCTTTCTGTCTGTATCCAATGGGCATAAAGATTTTATAGGACACACTGTATCATTGCTGGAATCACAGCGGGAACCTTCCTTGCAGATGGAGAGCAGCAGGGTGCGAGTCACTGAGATGGCTGCTTTCTCTTATCTGCTGTGAATAAGCAGGAGATTTTTGGGAAAGCTAAGCATCACTGTAGATGAGACCCATGACAGTGACTTGCCTGAAGGATGGAATTAGAAGACACATTACTGAAAATAAGTAAAAATAATTCATTACAGTGTTTAAGGCATTATCAGATATGAGTAATACCTGTATGTTTGGTTGTTTGAAGGCAGAGGGCAGTGAATAGACATGTAATAGATTGCCACTGCTGTGGAGTTCAGGATTCAGCACCGTATAACAAATTCTTTAGCTGCTTCACAATGCACTGGGCTTATTATCCTTCCCCTGAGTGTTAGGGAAGAAATCATTTTGTAGAAACACTTCTGTGTGTGAAGTTTGTATCAATATGAAGTTTCAGATGTTTGTTTTTATCACAACTTTATGGATGTTTCGATATAGCATAAACTCATATATGAACAAACCCTAAGTTTTCCTCAGGAGACACTGGAAAAGTACACATAAGACTCTGAAAATTGAAAAATGCTTTTAAAAAGTAGAGAGAAAAACTGTTGACTTATCCAACTAACTGCTACAGTAAGGAGAGGATTTTTTTTTTTGGAGACTATATTTTGTATTGACTGTGCTTTTCTAAAAACAATATAATCTAGGAATGTTTAAAATCTGTTATTGTATTATCGTAATTAGCTGAATTATTAACAGCTGATTTAAAACCTAAGAGCACAGTGGAAAAGTGGGTACCATTTGGTGCTGGTAATTCATTAAACATTTTTGTTCCACAGTGTTTCCAGTGAGTTTATACAACTTACTAAAAAAAAAAAATCTGTCCTTCAATAACGAATCGGTGCTTAGATAAGTACTATTTTTTGCTTCTTCATATGCAGGTGGATATGGAAGCTTTCCTTACTCTTACTGATGGCGATCTGAAAGAGCTGGGTATTAAAACTGATGGATCAAGGCAGCAAATTCTGGCAGCTATTTCTGAACTGAATGCAGGAAAGGTTCGTTTTGAAGTACTGTGCTTAGTAAACTAATTCAAGGTTTGTTTGTGTTGTTAATTCAACATATATTTGAAAATTCAGTTGCAGATGTTAGATAGAAAAGCTAAACAAATGTTTTCCAAACAAAACATTTAATGTATTTGGTTAGTTGAAAGCACATTACTTTGTGGTACTCCCTGTTCTTTTACTAACTCTTTCCTAGTTCAGTAATTGTACAGTTCTTTTGCAGAGTATTGACAATCATATGAGAAGCTAACTCTAACATGAACATTGGTCCTGTTACAGTTAGTGAATGTTGATTTCAGTGTCACTAAAAAGAATATAATGAAAAAGGTCTCCTTTTTGATTTTTTTTTTTGTGACTATATAAGTAGCACTTATCTGATTCCTTATATTTTTGAAGCCATTTAATTTTATATTCACAGTTACTAATTTGAGGAATAGTGTAGAGTAAGGAATATTTGCATCAGAGAGAGATTATGGACTGGAGCATCTCTTCAATTACACCTGCTGACACTGCTCAGCTGCTTTTTAAGTTTCAAGGTTCATTTTCTCTCCATGATACTGGAAACTCAAATAAACAAAACATAAAGATAATTCCATCAAGTTAAAATTAAAAGCAGCAGGTGATAAGACTGAAAAACAAAACAAAACAAAAAAAAAACTTGAGGAGGTGGGTGATGTTCCATGCTTTATAGGCATAGAGAATATCCTGAAAATGCTTCTACTGCTGTCTGGCAGTTTCAGGAAGATGACTACAAGGCTTTCTACATATCTGGGAGGTAAGGATTTGTTGTTCTTCCTCGTAGTGCACTGTGACTCTCTGGGCATAGAAACGCATATTTTCATATCTTTTTATGAACTCATGATAAATTAATTTGTAAAACAGAAATACTTCATTTTAATTTATTTTATTTTCACAGGGACGAGAGAGACAGATTTTACAAGAAACTATACACAACTTCCACTCTTCCTTTGAGAGTAGTGTTAGTAACACACGACCTCCTGGTCATTCCCAAAGTAAGTAGCACCTGGCATTAATTGAACAATATATGAGTGATTCTAATTAATAATTGCTAGAGGACAGAATGTGACAAACGAGCTAGGGAACCACTATCTGGGTTAATGATTGATGCATGTCCATCTCTTTTGCTGAGACTGTAGAGAAGATTTCAAGGTAAAGAAGTATCTGAAAGATTTTATGCACACATCAGCATTATCTGAAAGGAGAACAAGATATTTGTTCTGCATTTATTACTACTGAACACAGAAAATGGATATAAGTGTAGCAAACTATAGTATATGATGAAGGGCAGCAGTGGGAGGTGAGTTTCTGTATGATACGTAGTTTGTTTTTGCATACTGTTCATATAAGACAGTTTTCCTTGGTATAATCAAGTATATTCAATAAGATTGAGGTTTGCAATTTAGTATACTGGCTTAAATGGCTATCTTAATTATGTATTTATGGGTGTATATATTTATTTTTATATGTAATATTTTTATATGATTACCTGTAGTAATATATCTATAGTATAATATAGAAATACATATAGTAATACAATACAGTAATACATCTATTCCAACCATCAGTGTTAATTGCTAGCCACTGTTGGAGAAGAAGCTGCATTTTAAAATGTAGTATCCATAATCAAAATCTAGATCTATTATCAAAATGTATAGAAAGGTGTTCCTGACCCGCAATGAGTGAATACATTTACTACAGTCACACCTAGATATAAAAGCCTTAAACCTGCCCTAGCAACCACCTGAGTCAAAGGCAGATAGATCTACATCTGTTACTGAAGATCATTCCTACCAGCATTTCTGGATCTGTGTTTGGGGAGGAACAAGAAAGCCATTGAATGGCCTTGAGAAATTTACCTTCTTAGGTACTTCTTACTTTCCTTCAGCTGCTTATTTTGAGGTTTGCATCCACGCACACAATTGCTCCACTCGTTTAGTGGTTATGGTAAATAACATTTGAGCAATTGTATGCTTTGGTATGCCTAAATAATGAGTGTCAGTCCCAGTCGTTCCAGTCTCAATCAGCTGAATGTCACTAGATCTGTGAAAGCAGGTGCAAACAGTAGGTCTCACTGCTGTCTTGGTGAAAACTGGGCATTGCTGGGGTAGTTAGGCTACTTTTTCTCTGTAGTCTGCTTGGCTGAAAGCCACTGTCAGGTGTCACTGTATGCATAGTGCAGCTTACTTCCCATTCTCGGAGCAGTCATCCTTGTGTGGGAACTTCTGGATGTTTCTTGATAACATCCCAGACTTGAAGAGCCTCTTCTGTAGGTACTGCTGGGTGAGCAGAAGCTGATATTTGGGGTTTGGTAACATGCTGCAGGGAACTGGAATTACTCAAGAGCTGAAGAAACATACAGATGTAAAGTGTCTCCAAGCAACTTGTTGGTGCCTTGAAGACAGCTAAAAAAAAGTAATGGTGGTCCAGAGCTGGTTAGAACATCCTTTTGTATGAATTGAGGCAACACTTGCTCCTGCAGACCAATTGACAAGATGCTGCAAGGAGGCTCATCAGAGATCTAGCTTGTGGGTTTTTGTGTGTGAGAGCTTCATGAAGTAGATTTGGCTGAGAGACAGCAACAGGAGCACTAACAAAGGAGGAAGAGGAAAAGTGCATATAGATTAATGAAGTTTCTGCACCAGGTAAGCTGCTTTTTATTGTAAAAAGTAGCAACGGGACCCTTATGCAATTTCTGGAACTTGAAGTGATTTCCAGAAATGTGTAATATTTTAGAACATATGAGCAGCTGTACTGAATCAGATCCAAGATTCATACAGCTGTGTTTGGCTATTTCATCTGGTCTTATTTGACATTTGTGTTGAGAGCTGCTTGCTTTCATTTGTTTTGAACTTGCCGTGTCTTTTGTTCATCCTACCAGATCAGAAGATACAGTAGACAACTTGTTTCCTCTTCACTGCCTCCATGCCACTGATGGTTTTTCAGATATCTGACATTATTCTTCAGTCATATATTTCTTTTTTTTTTTCAGATTGAAGACTTTCATAGGCTGCTTAAGCATTCCCTTTGCTATAGTTGTTCTATCCTCATTTCATTTCCTACTATATCCTTTCAGACTTGAAGATACCATAAAACATTCAAGATGTAGGCATGCCATTAATTTACACATGATACAGTCATTGTTTTTCAGCTGTCTTCTCTGCTTTCAGTTCTCTTGCCCTTTCCTGTTTTTTTCTAGTACTTGGCCTTTTTTGGCTACAATAGAAGACTGAATTGGTCCTTATTGGAACTGTTTGTTACAACCCAGATCATCTACTGAGTGTGAGCTCAGAGATTATCATTTTATATAATATGCCTTGCTTCATACTAGTTCATTTTTATCAAGTTTTGTCTGCCACATTGTCTGGTCAATGATGTCTCATGAAGTCCTTTTTCCAGTTTTCTTTTTGCCTTTGTTTTTATTTACATGGATAACTTAAGAAAATTTGTCGCTTGAGTCTACCTGCCTTTTTCCAAGTCATATGTCAAATATCCTGAGTCCTCGTGCAGATCTCTGTGAAATGCTACTGGTGAATCTTTCCACCATGGAAAATTACTATTTACTCCCACCTTCTGTCCTCTGCTTTCTTGTTGCAGGAAGAACAGCCGAAGTCATGACACACACCAATACAGTCAGATCATGCTCTCTCTTTATTACCCGAATAGCCTGACTTTTATAGCAAATCTAGCAGGGGTGGATAGTGTCTCACACAAGATTATTGGTTGAAAGCACTCCGACAAAAGACCTGCAAGAAAACAACCCCCTTGTGATTAGCAGTCACATAGATCTTGTCCTGGAAGCCAGCTGCTGGCAACAATATTTTTAAATCTTCGATTGGGTGATAAGGGAACATCGTTATAGCAACTCCTTGTAGTCATCCTGGTAGCTTGGCTTGCTCAGGTGCAGCATGTCATGGCCTCCTTGCTGTTTCAAAAATTCCTCAGCACTTTCTAACCTGTTAGTTATCCATGCAAGATATGTTTTTACTCTGTGGCTTCTTCATTGTCTTAAGAACCAACCTTTGGCCTTGTGAAATAAAAATCCATGCATCAAGTGGATCTCTTTTGTCTATGAGGTTGTTGGTACCTTCAAAGAATTCCATTAGGTTGATGAGGCAATTCTTTTCCACAAAATTTCAAATGTTCACTATTTCAATTCTTTGTCATAGTTCATACTAATCTGCCTCTTACTACTGTCATGTCTGTGGTCGAGGTTTCCCTGGATCCACTAGAACCCTTAGAAAGATGAGCATCAATTCTCATTTACCTGGCAATTTAAACAAGAACCTGCATTCGGAACTCAGCAGTTCAGCTGCTTAACCACTGAGTCCCTCTAGAACCTTTGGCTTAAGAGATTTGTTGTTACTTGCTTTGTGCTTTTGTTTAACCAATACTTCAGGTTAAGATACCTTGGAGTGAGTCCCACATAAAGAAGGGTTCTGAAATGGAAACCTTCCCAAGCTTTTCCATTGTGTATACATTTACCTTTTCTGATGTGAACGTAATTTCCTAGCTTTTATTACACTCTAATCATTGGATGGCATCGTGGCATCTGTAACAGGCTGCCTTATCTGATGTGTTTGAAAAATATGTGAAATTTTTATGCTTTTTGCATGGTCCATAACCACCGGTTTCTTAAGAAGTCTTCCTAGGAGCCTTTCTGGGCACTTTGTGTATGAACACCATTAGCAAGAAAGCCACCTGATGATTCTCACTTTCAGAAAGCCAGATGTAGCTCATAGGATAATAATATCCTGCTCTTCCAACTGTGTCAGTGTCACTGTTTCATACTTATTACTGTGATTTCCTCAGTATGTTGAGTAATTTTAAAAGCTCAGTACCTAAAATGAATTGGCTGCAAGTATAGCTTTGCCTTTATGAAGTTTCCAGCCTTTAGGGATGTAAAGAAGGTAATGAAATGAGATTTGAACGTACCCATAAGGCTCAGAAATGAAAAAGCAGGGGAAAAGAAACTTAATTTCTCACTTTCTAGGGATGTAGCTTATAATTCTGGGAAGTCTGCAGACTGACTACCATCACCAAACTCTTGACTCTGTACAACTTCTCCACCCTTCCCACATCAGCAGCTTAATTTTTCCATTTTGCTGCAGTTCCCCAGAAAACACCCCATTTCCAAAGCCTGGACTCAGCACCTCTACTGCTGCCACTGGGTTAGGAGCTCATCAGACCTTCTTCAAGACGTCAGGCAGCAGAAAAATAAAAATGTCTATGTGAACATTTCTGGGATGGAAAAGAGAAGAGCAGTAATTATTTACATTTACACTTCTAAGAAAGCATTAGAAGAATAAAAAAAAAAATACAAACAATAAGCAGAAGTAGTAAAAGCAATACCATCAGAAGTAAAGGCTTGATCATGTAACTAATTTCACACAACAGGTTTGTTTAGAGAAGATTCTGCAGTTTCTTGATATTTTTTGGCAGTTCAAACTCAATTACTAGTTGGTTGTATCCTCAGCTACCTTCTGGTTGAGCAGCTCCTTCTGAGGTCATTGCTTCTGAACTCTATGATAGTCGCCACAAGAACTAGTAGAAAAGTTGTCAACTGTATGTTGGGTTTTGGCAGCTGAGCTACTTCAATTATAGTAAGGTTCACTGTGGGAAGAGAGATTACTTTGTATGTCAGGTTCTGTGTCACCCCTGGGGCTGGCAGTGAGATGATTCTCCTTTGCAGAAAACAATAGGCATTGACATATATTTGTTTTCTGTCAGAAGGATATTGAGACTTAGCTGCTGCCAATGATACGAGGTTAGGCTGCATGTCCAGGCTGTGAGAGCTCCTTATTTAAATCATTGCCTGAACTGCATAAGACAAATGACTGCTCTACCTGTAAGTAATGCAGTGGCTACTGGACCCGTAAGCTGTAAGGATTTGGAGCACTGCAGTTCTCCCTATTCTGAACAGGCAAAACAGAACTTGCACAGAGAATGTTGCCTTTGTGTCTTTTTTAGGGGAAAGTAATTGGTAACCTTCAAGAAATTCTGCTGATATGAACTAATTGCAAGTGTGAACATCATGGAGTTTTTGATACTTTGGTAGTTTCCAAGGGGGAAAAAAAAATGTAATGCTGTTCTCATAGCAGGCAGGAATTAAAGGGAATACCCTGACGTTGGGTAGTGGCACTGAACAAAGGGAGGATGTAGGTACTGGAAGAATAAGTTGAATGTTCTGCAGATGCCGGTTAGATGAAGAAAAACTATGCCTATGATGAAAAAGGAATATGGTGCCATTCAATCTGTGATTAATATTATTTTTTTGCAGTAATTCTGATCTTGCAGTTTCACTTTACCTAATATTTTATGTTGCATATTGATACATACTTACACATACATATCTGCAGATAAATATATAGGTATTTACAAAGATGTGACAAAAAAGTAGAAGAGAGTGGGGAGCGATTTATGTATTTGCTTTCCACTTCTGAATTCAGAGTCATAAATATCAAATAGAAATTATCCAGAGGAGAGAAGTAGAGAGATTGCAGAGTAAGACATAAGAGCAAAACCAGTATAGACTTGCAAATGGAAAGGTACACACGGAGAAAAGAGAGATACTGGAAAGGTTAATGGCAGCAGATGACCTTTTCGCCCTGGTTTTGATTTTTCATATGTTCTCCGTACAGGAAAGGGCTTAGGATGAGTAAAGTGAATTACAGGGTCAAGTTTTTGGAGTCTGATATAACAAGATAAAGAAATATGAACCTGTTTGTGGTAATTGTGGAATTAGTCTGTCTTCTTTGAGTAAAGCTGTGAGTCTTGCTGGCTGTAGGTAATCAGATTTTATTCTTATTTTTTTTCTTTTACAGCACCTGGCTGCTCTATAAAACCACAAGAAGCTGTTGCTACTAAGAGGTAGCTACTGGAAAAAAAAAGGATTTTGTTCTTACGGTGAAGTCTGGGATCTTGCTGATTCAATCCCAGTATAGAAATGAAAATTTGAAACGTTAGTCCTAACTGCACCTATACAGAACTTTCTGAAGTAATATCGTTTATAATTCCAATGCCACAAAGCATCAAAGGAAGTAATAAAAAGATTGCTTCTGCAGTTCAGCTTACAAGTTGAATTGTTCAAGGCTTCATTGGTTTGGATTTGAGAAGAACAAAGAAAAGCAGGAAGAACGAATGGCCATATAAGATTCATGTTTTCATCCTACTTTTTAGTGCCTATAGCTGAAGAACCCATAGGAAGCCTATGTGGGCACAGTCAAGAAGAACGGGAACATGGAAGAAGGAATGAAAATCACCATGAATGAGAGCTTCTACATGGAGAAATACATAGCTGAATATGCCTCTGTTGGCTGAATATAGCCAAAAGAGTCCAAGTTGAAAATACAATGGCTTCATGAGGAGGAGTCTAAAGGAAAAGCAATGCTGCGTTCTTCAGTAACTAAAATACACTTTATCTACTCAATATTAAGAAGTTAGAACAGCAGTAAAAGTAAACACAAAATACCTATTTGTAAAAATAGCACTTTATTTAAGGAACTGCATAATCTGTCACTGATATTTAAACATAAATAGTATTAAAGTATTTTATATTGTTGATCCGTTGTTTTGAGAATAAAACCATTTAACTGATGTTGTCTGGGTTTTCTGAATAGTAACACTAGCAGATCTTCAAAATATGTTTGGTTGTTGTTGTTGTTTTTTTTAACTTTTATGTTTGAAAGGATTAGTACAGTAATTTTTGCTTTATATATATATATATTTAATTGAGCAATTAAAGTATAAGTAACCAGAAACCTCTGATACTATTTTTGTCTGTCTGAAATCTCACAAGTCCATTACTTGACCACTGGTTAAAGTCATTGTGAGTCAGGGGGTACTTAATGCAGGCAGAATCCAGATCTTGGAACTCCAATGCAGGGGAGTGATTTCAAATAATTCTCTACGCATCTAAAAATTCCGCCTTTCTCCTTCTCACTGTACTGGTTTTGGTGGAGTTCAGCAAAAATAGGGATAGAAGTGGGTATAGTGACAAATAAAGGCAGCAGTGGCAGTGAAAGGAGTGATGCCCTTGCTATCTCTCAGCTTGCCTCAGGTTTGGCAGCTGAGTCTGAGATTGACTCAGCCACCTGAGGAAAGGCTCCAAGGTGCCAACAGCAGCCAGTAGAGCAGCTGAGCTGTACGAGGTAGCAGCCACTGAAAACTGTTGGTTTGGCTTTTTTGTTTCTTTGGGTTAAATAAACCCATTAAAAATGTCACAATAACTTTCAGAAGTTAAACCTTTTTAAAAATACGCGTGTAAAGTAACCATCGAATTAGCTAGGAAGGGAAGCATTTTTCTTAAGTAGGAACTGTCTATTACGGTTAGGAGTTTAGAGGAATGTAGGGTGAAAGGTACGATGTTGTAAATTTGTGGAGACTTTATTGAAGGAAAATATAGTAAGGAATAAAGGTGGAAGGAAAAAGAAGAGGACTGCACTAGTGAAATATGTCAGCCATAATTGTGCAAAAAGGTAATCTGCCTTTGAAAACAGGTAAGGAATAAATACGTTCTGCAACAAGAATGCTTCCTTTTGGTTGCATGTGCAACAAGAGCTACCCATCCTGCTAAGTGCCAGCTTCAGTATTGATTTTGTGGCTTTCTAAGAGGTTCTTTGCAAAATGTTTTACTGCTGCTTCAATCCAAATGCCTAAGGACTAATTACACAGCTGTGCTACATTGGGGCTGACCTTGAACACAGGTAGCCCAACTCTGAGGAGGAGAAGAAGAGGTTACAGAGGGGCAAGGCAAAAAAAGATGGTTAGCAGCTGGTTACAGCCATCTAGGGCTGTTACTTGCCCTGAGGTCCTTGGTGGTCATTTTATTGCCACTTCCAATGTTAACAGTTGTGTTAACAATATTAATTTCCAATGGAAATTAACAATGCCATTTCCAATGTTAACAGTCATGTCAGTATTTCAAACAGCCGTGTTTGAAATAACTACACTGTGCGGAGAGTTACCTTAAGCCAGCTAACAGGAAATCTGAAGGTGAGAGGGCTTCAGCAATTCACGTTCAGAGCTTGCAGGCCCTATTCTTTAAAAGGAGAAATACTCACCTGCAGTAAACTGAGGTGGGGGAGTTCCTTCTTTCTTTTAAAATGTGGCTCGTTGAGGTCCCTTTTCCAAAGGATACTGAATGGCAGTTTAAAGGTTGGAAGATATGTTTTTTCTGCATTCTAAGGGGGATTGAGTTAAAATATACCACTGCCCAGAAGGCTGCAGTAATCTCAAGGCTATATGGCAAGGTTTATTTCTCTAGCTGAATCCTCTCTGTGCAGAAAATAATTCAGAATTCACCAGGTGTACCCCTATAAGGCATGAATGGGGAAGAGTTAGGATCTAGTTTCCCTGGAACTGAGGATATAAACAGCATAAATTTGGGAATGTGGGGAAAAACATTCAAATGAGCAATAAAGATTTAGAAACACAAGCCTATCAAAGGGGATTGGAGCACAAGTATAGGTTCTTTATGTCTACCCACCAGGTAGAAAACCTTTCTTATGCTATCCCATCCAGAAGTCTCAGTATCTAAAGAGTTAGCTTTATTAATACAGGAACAAAAATGTGTGCTTTTAGAGTTTGGGGACTTTCCATATCTGGTGCTGCACTTATTTCTTACAAGGTGGTCTGTTTCCTTCTGCCTGAGTCAGATGCAATTGTAAGTGGAGGAACAAGGAGTTATGTTTGAGACCAACACCTACAGTTTTGTTTCTGTGACTTGTAGCTGTATAAACTCCATTGCAATCAGCAGAGGTCTAGTCAGTACAGCCACTGGGACCTCAGACACCAGTATCTGACCAGCCCAGCTCAGGAGCTTGAATCAGTTGTCCAGACATCTGCAGGCACTTGCATGCCCTAGGGTATCCAAAGCACGCGTACAGGGTGCCAGACGTGATGCAAAATGAAGGTTAATTAAAATCTATTTGTTGACTGCAGGCACTCACTCGGACTGAGACCATTCAGAGCCTAAGACTGTCATTTCACTGACCTGTCCTGACGTGTCCAAAGTGAAAAGCTGTATCCCCATTTGCTGTTTGCTCTCTCGGTGTCCTCCTTTTTAGTTTAAATGAAAATCTTTGCTAGCAAAGTTTGGGCTGCTTACCTGATAACGAATAATAACACCTTCCGAGATTTGTAGAATTAAACATTAGAGGTAAAAGTTCTTGCTCTGATTAGCCCAGAATTATGAAGTTGATTAACCTGTAGTTAATAACCCTAGGATGTCTTACTTGACAGAGGAGCAGTGCTATTTTACAGGAAGCTCTTATAGCCTTCTTGCAATTCCATTTTCTTTATTCTATGCTTCGAGCATTAATCAAGATCAAATTTTAAATAGAGGTATTTCATTATTTGGAAATGATTTTAGCAGTCATCTGTAGTATTGTTCATGCTTCAGCAAATGCTTCAGAAGCCAGGTAGCTTCTCAAGGGAACAACTTTGGTTTCCAGAGTGAAATGGGAACATAAAGGTTCTCACAAACAGGTATCTTTAATACTAAAATCATTTGAGTTTAGAATTGCTTGGCTTGTCTGACTCTGACACTAATAGCCCCAAACTTGCCACTTCTAGATTTTATCTTATTTTATTTCAAAGCCCTCCTGGCAGTACATTTAGTGGGAACAGGCTTTGTCCATTAAATCTGAAACAACTTGTGCTTTATTTAAAGCTCATTTGGAATACTTAATTTCCAGTCTTTCAGAAGTTTGTATTATTGAAATAAACTGTTAATGCAGTGTCCTCCTTAAAGCGTGCGTACAACACTCCAAAGAGGTTTGTCTGGTCTCGAGAGTGCTGTATCGTGTCAGCAGAGTGAACTGGGGCACAGTTCTTGAAGGTGATTAAACAGGTAAAGGTGAATATAGGAAAGCAGACCCATTCAAGACACTTTCTTAAGTGTCTAAAAGAACTCTGTGTTAATGCATATACTTGATATATGGCTCCAAGTTCTTGTTTTTAGTAAGCCTGAGCTATTTGTAATGCCACAGAATCGGTGGCCTCCAATTAGCTGGAGCAGAGATTTCCATTTTGCTGAGTTGCAAAACAAAATCACTTTTGCAGTAATGCAATACCAAAGTGCAATGGATTTGATCACTACAGGCCTACTTTCAGCTTTTCTCAACAGCTTCATGTATGAATTCCATAAGTAAATTCTTCATATATGTTTTTTTCCAAGTAACTCTCTGCTGCCAGCTTGTCCACAGAAGGGGAAGATGGATTAAAAGGGCAACAGACTGAAAAACAGCAGAGAGAGAAACACAGGTAGTATTTTGATTGGGATCCAGGATCTGCCTCTCCTTTTTTGAATAGTCAGACTTCATATTCAGACTGGGGCTCACTTTCTTCACCATCTCAGGACTCCAAAGCGCTCATTCTTTATCACAGGCTTGCTCTCGTTCCTTTGCTCACAGTGGAACAGACAGCATCATTCTCTGGTAAGTCAGTGCTGCGTGCAGAGGTCCATGCTGCAGACCTTCCAGCAGTCCGAGCCACAGATGACAAAATACAGCCCCAATCTACACATGTTCTCCATACTTTGTATCGTTGATCTCCTACCATGCATTTTAATTGCTAACTTAGTGTGCGTGTCACGCACACACACAAGCTGTAGTCCTTACGAATGCCGCAGGTTTATTTCACAGAATAGCTGAGGCTGGAAGGGACCTTTGGAGATCATCTTGGCCACCCCCTACCCGCCCCACTCTAGCTGGTTGTCTGGGGTCATATGCAGTCAGGTTTTAATAGATTGAGACTCCAAAACTTCTCTGGGAAACTTGTTCCAGTGTTTTTGGCCACAATCTCAATCAAAAGTTTTTCTTTTTTTTTTTTTTTTTTTTTCTTACACTTAATTTCTTGTGCTTCAATTTGTGCCCATTTCCTCTTGTCCTGTCACTAAGCATCACTGAGAGGAATCTGTCTGTGTTATCTTTACTCCCACCCATCAACTATTTTCACACATTGATAAGATCCCTCCTCATCCTTCTTTTCTCCAGGCTAAACAGTCCCATCTCCCTCACCCTTCCTATGATGCTCCAATCCATTCATCATCTCAGTGACACTACACTGATTGTTTCATGATGTCCATGTCCTTGTTGTCTGACTATACCTACTCCAGATGTGCTCTCAATGGTGCTGAACTGTGGGGAATAATCACCTCACTCCTGCAGGTGGCACTCTTCCTAACTCAGCCCAGGACAGCATTGACCTTCTTTGCCACAAGGGCACATTGCTGGCTCATTTTAACTCGGTGTCCATGATCCCCAGGGCCTTTTCAGCAAAGCTGTTTTCCATTCATCTGCACACAGCTTGTACAGGTGCATGGGGTTATTCCTCCAATGACTTTGCATTCCCCTGTGTTGAACTTGATGGGATTTCTCTGCCCAGTTCTCCAGCCTGTTGAGGTCTCTCCAAATGGCATCATCTGGGTTATGAATGAAAAGACTAAACAATGTTGAACTGAGTACTGACCCCTGGGTACATCACTCTTGACTGGTCTCCAGCTGGACTTAGTGCAGCTGATCACAACCCTCTGAACCCGGTCATTTGTACCGTTTTCATTTCTCCTCACTGTCTACTTATGCAGCCCATACTTCATCAATTTGTCTTTGAAGGTGTTGTGGGAGGTAGTGATGAAAGTCTTACTAAAGTTGAGGAAAATAAGACTCAATATGTTTCTCATCCACTGAGCCAAATGTTTTACCATAGAAAGTTGTCAAGTTGGTCAGACATGACTTCCCCTTTTTAAATCCTTGCTGAC